AGTATAACATGCGTAAATTGTCAGGTTTTCAAATGACAGCGATTTCCCCTGTGTAAATGATTTCCATAGTCTAAGGATCAGACCATTACATTTTTATTTTTGTTCTACAAGTGGCGTTCCTATAGAACTATTTTCCCCACTAGAAACCGTTTGATCTGTTTGGCCATATTGTTAGACTGGGTGAAGCTGTTGTCCACTACTCAGGCCAATACCCCTGGATGTAATATCTGACCTAGTAAGAGAAACAATAAAACCACTACCAATAAAAAGTGAAATCTAGGTCATTCGAATCACGATAGCCATCAGCTGAGGGACCTATATAGATTTCTGTGATATCAGACTCATAGCACTCCATTTCATACAGCCACATTGTTTGAAAAAAAAAAATACAGTGAATGCTTTGTGTCAAGGTCATATTACCTGCTCAGAAGATCAGGTAGGAAATCACTGAGTCATTTTGGCAGGGCAAACAATCAGAGGACTGAACTAGTATAATAAAGCAGGTTTTTCTAACCAGACAGGAAGCAAAATTGTCTGGTTATATTTGTTTGAAATAAAAATGAGATATGAAAACAAGAAAATAGATGCAGCAAATATCTCAACATATAGGTGGTCTCTCAGGACAGGTTCCACTGTGAAGAAAGGTCACCTGACATGTCATTTCATAGAAAGGGAGGCTGTCTGAAGGCAGGTCTGAATCTGCTGAAAAGGATGTTTACTCAAGGCAGTTTCCTACTACAAAGAGAGCTGGTCTCTAAAGAAAGGTCCAACCATTTTGAAAGAAACAGTCTGTCCAAGACAGACTTAATTGGATTGAAACAGTTGGTCTCTAAAGACAGGTTCTAAAATTTGAAAGAGACAGCGAACTTTCAAACACTAAAAAATCCCAACAGAGGTGGTCTCAAATCAAATTCTTCTTTGAAAATAATTTAACATTAGTGTATCAATTGACTCTTCAACATGATAGGAGGAAGATATTTCAAGGGGAGATCACTCAGAACAAACAGTAGTGTAACATGAAAACAACAATTTCAGAAGAAATTTTTCAGTAATATGTGTCACACCATCAACTCGGATTCGTTGTGTGTTGAATGTTTTTATTATTACCCCTGGTTTAGGATTGCGACCACCTCACTACACCGACCATCAGGTCGTGTCAGTAATTTACATCCGTAGCTATATGTGGCGCCTGGACTCCCGAGGATGTCCAAAGCAACGCGGCTAATCTGTGGTTCTGCCCAGCACCCAGGGGTATCCTTAGTTTTATTACCCTACACACTCACTCTCGCACAACTTCCTCACCTGTCACATCTGGACACGTACATGTCTCAAGACAACACCATATAAGGACAGACACGGACAATATCTAACAGGTAACACACCAAATAAGCATATACTCGTAAATGCATGGACAGTAACGAATACAAATTAAACAGGACGTTTACAGACACTTACTCCTATTTACCCTGTGACATATGTCAAATGTCAAAAAATTGTTCATTGCAAGACAGGAATTCACTATGATTTAGATGTGTCACAATTGATTTCCTATAACCAAGTTAATATGAGTACCAACTAATAGTCTGTAAGGGACCTGTTATATACCCAATACAATCCATTACATATCAGAATACAATACAGTCACAGTCTAACAGTGCTAAACAATACCGCAGTATGGTACAAAATATCTACACCCTATTCCTACCACATAAGAGACTAGAGACCCATAACTAGTACCCCTCTCAGTATCACTTCCACAAACAATTTCCTTATTCCTACCATGTAGAGACTAGAGACCCAAATATCAAATACAACTTTTTCCCCCATACTTAAAATATGAATATGAAACTTCAGATAGAGACATAACACTGTCTTTTATGAAGCATTCAATTCAAAAATTGGAAAAACATATTTTAAAAATTTGTAAAAAGAAATCGTGCCGTTAGGCTTATGTCTTGTTATGTCATGAACAAAAGATAGTTTGCACTGCAAGTTCAGACAATCAAAAGTGGAATATCTGCCAAAAAATACTGTGTAAGACTTGTTAAGCTATATCCAACCCTTGGCTGGATGACAATGTATTCATAACACCGAGACAATTCAAACACTAGCTGTATACACTCGTGTGTAGCAACAGACTGACGTCCCAGTATAATCTCCCCGCCACTAACAACACCAATCCTCCCACACACATATGAAATGCAGATCACAATTTCAGCATAATTTAAGTTTATATTTATATAAAAGATGATGCAACAGATTATGGACTGTATGGGTTTTCAGCTTTTGTTAAACAATCCGACAGATGAAAATGCTTTTCTGTTTGGCTATAGAAATAAACCTACAAAAGTTATGGAGAATACCATTTATTTCAACTACTCATGGTTATTGATCAACTTAATTATCACCTGCTATTTTGTGCTTCATTATGAAAAGATAACAAAACGAAAATTCCCATTTTATAATTTTGGATTCCCTCCCCCCCCCGCCTCCTTTGTTTTGGGTTCTTCTCTATAATGAGTTAACACCTAAAATTATTTTAGATGGAATATTAATGTTATTTACCTAAGACAAGGAGAAGTCAGCAAAACCCCTCCTGAGCACCTGAAATGGGTATCCCCTTGCCTAACAACAGCAATTTGTTCTATAATAGAATCAGTGACCTTGACCTTAAGGTCTTGATAAAGCCCCACTGCTTATCTGCATTTAACTTTGTACCATCATGTGATGTTTGATACTTGTCAAAATTGTATTCTGTGATAATTTCCAGCAATAAAAATGTAAGTGGAGAAACAGACCTAGAGGAAACAAATCATAAAGTGAAACACTGTTTACTATATTTCAGTAATAACGGAGGTGTAGCACAAATGATACAGAAATTCTCACTGTCCAACATCAATATCCTCCATTTCTGAGTGTCACCATCAGTTATACATAATGGAATATTTTACCATTACCAATACTCATGTCGGCTGATATCTTGTAAATGCGATGTAAATTAGATTTAATTCCTAATATCTACACCTCAAAAGTCTCTCAGTTACAACTTTCCAGTTAAGGGTCAGAAAATTGATAAGATGCTTTATTTGTTCAAGGCCTGTATATGAGTGAACAGCTTCCAGTCCCATTTGTGTGCTGACCTAGTCGGACGTAAGTGGGAGATATATCCCTCCAATGAATAAGAACATTGATCAGGGGGAGATAACCTATCAGGTAATGGAGGTTTGATGGTCGTCTTATCTAGGGTTACGTATGAGTCTACTGATCAAGTGCTTACAGTGTCTGAACCGGTTACATGGGCACTCCTGATAAAACCTACTCACAGCCATGTCCTCTTAACCATTACAATAGGGATACCATTAACATAATTCCAAGTGCATCCCTGCCCACCAGATGCTTAGGGACAATATGTTACCATATAGCTAAAACAATCACTCCAGACAATTACTAAGATACAACATCACTGTAGGGTTCATTTATCCATATTAATAGTGTATATATATATACTTTCAATTTTTATATCAGAACAATCATTTTAGATAATGTGAAAGGAATATTAGGCTTTCCACTGTTTTGTGAAATCATATTTGCATTGTCTGTAGATAAAATGCTCCAATAAGGAATATATTTGAGGCTGAAGACACTATACAAGTAACAAGTGCCCTAATAACCTATTTACTTATTTATGACCTTAGGTCCACATCCAAGGGAGACAGAAGTAACAAGTGCCCTAATGACCTATTTACTTATTTATGACCTTATATAGTAACAAGTGCCCTAATGACCTATTTACTTATTTATATATATCCAAGGGAGACAGAAGTAACAAGTGCCCTAATGACCTATTTACTTATTTATGACCTTAGGTCCACATCCAAGGGAGACAGAAGTAACAAGTGCCCTAATGACCTATTTACTTATTTATGACCTTAGGTCCACATCCAAGGGAGACAGAAGTAACAAGTGCCCTAATGACCTATTTCCTTATTTATGACCTTAGGTCCACATCCAAGGGAGACAAAAGTAACAAGTGCCCTAATGACCTATTTACTAAGTATTTCTGTATCTGGTCTTTGACTACCAGAGCTGATAATCAAACGTCTCAACATTGATTTATATACATGCTCAAAGAATGCTGAAACAGAAACATTATTTTTTAACAGGCCACACTTGCATCAAAATCTGTTGGAAAAATGTTTTTTTTTTTTTTTAGTCAATCTTGACAAATTTCTGTACAATCCCTTTCCAGAAGTATACTCTACAAAATCTAAAATTCATCAAAGAAACACAAGTAATTTAACACTTATCCTGCTGTTAACGAAAACTTTCATTTTCCACCTTTTCCATAAACTTGGACAAAAATTTGTCCAAAAAGGAAATCATTTGGAACTACATGTCCACTTCTACCTACCCAAAATTCATTTTCAGTAGAACTAAAGAAAATTTTGTTACAAGTGTGAGGAATTGGTTCCAAAATAAAGGTAATAACTTAGGTTTTTGCAAGGAAACATTTTTCAGTTGATAAAAGATTTAATCCCGTCACCAAATTTTCAGAAAAAAGAAGAAGAAAAACAATCACACTAAATACCTGAATTTGGCTTCATTTTCAAGCATTAAAATAAACACCTGGTAATAAGCCTGGCTGTTCAGTAACTGAGGTGGCTATTTAACTCGGAGAGAACCCAACAATTCAATGTTTGTTACCTGTTTGTCTTATCAGTATCAAAATAGTAATAATTCACTCAACAGGCAAAGAGATAACTTTGAATGGTAACAGACAACATTAACAATATTCCACCAAATAGAATATTTTTTCTGCACCTGTTATCATACAAATGGTATCCTCTTAATCATATATATATATATATAAAAATGCCACTTACCTTGGACAGTCATATCAATCCTTATAGTATTTTGCTAAACAAGAATATCCCCTACAACCAACAACCACTACCGAAACACTGAATAAAGAGGAGATAATTGCCACTTTTGCTACTTACTCGTCAGATTTTTCAGAATGAACAGATCCTCGTACTGACGATCCAACTTTGTAGTCATGCGGTAACGTTGCCCGCATCTGGTTATTGACACTGTCATATCTATTGAAGGAATGGTTGCCTCCTGCAGAAACTGTTCGTGTGCCATCACTACTGAGTCCCGAGAATGTTTGTGATTTAGGAATATTCCGATGTCCATCTATAAAGTTCCGTTCTTCCATAATCACTTTTGTCGTGTGTCCTCCAACTGTCCGTCGAGCAAACTTTTTACTTGGCGACCTAATCAAGAAAGGTACCATGGTTTATACATTAAACAAACATTTTCATTTCTGTTTCCTACGCTTTCTCCCTGAAACATAAAATCACCTGCCATTAGTTTCCTTATGTGATCAATCATTTGTTTCCCTTTCTTGGAAATGATCTTTATAAAACAGAATTCAAAATCAAATTTCTTACAGGAAATATTTTCGCCGACACATTTCTTTCAGCAGTTTCTTCATAAAGAGAAAATATTTAGAAATTAATTCACATTAAGACTCCCAAATCGAAATGTACATATATCCATGTCATAAAAATATTTGATTTTTTTTTACAATCAGAACATAACTATTTAATTTAATGATACCATTAGAATTTTAAACATGCATTTCTTCCATTTGTACAAAATGACAAAGGTACAGAAATAAACAAATAAATAAAAAGATGTGCAGGTCATCACATTTTTTTGGTTTGATATTTCATGCCTACGAAGAAGTAATGCCGTGTAATTGTGAAAGGATGGATGGTTGTGAAGGTTTATGATTGGTTGATAAGAAAGGTCAAAATGTTAAACCAAGGGTCAATACAAGAAAAGGTTAGTCAATTCTGAAGCAAGCAATACTGATTATATACACAACTATCAATGGTATCACAGACTGAAATGAAGAAATGTGAAGGAATTAAAAAAAAACATTCACCAAAAACAGTCCAAAAATTGCAATGCTATGATAATTTCTAGATGTTTTGATCACACTACTTACAATACTACGACTATACACCAGGCATCTGAACATAAACTATAGAAAACATTCAATTTTATGTCATCAATGAAAAGTTAGTTTGGATTATATTAGAAAACTTCAGCTGCTGATACAAGAATAATTAGGGCTCGGACAGTTATCATTTATTTAACATGCACTGAACAAATGTTGATTTGCCAACAAAAACAATGAGAATAGCAGTATATAGAGTTTAAGTGTTTTTCAGTGATAAATCTTTATGTAAGTCCAGAGTCCTGTAAACTCATCAAGTTTTGAATGGGCTCATTGAAATACTATAATTCAACATTGTAGGATCAGCAATGAAATTGACAAGGACTCATGAAAATAAATTGCAGATTGATCACTGGTTTTTGTTCTAAAACTTTCTTATTTTATATTCTTTTTTGTCCAAAACTAAGTTATTTTACTGTAAAGCTCACTCGAGTCATGCTGAAAATTTTGAAAGATTTGAGTGAAAATTTCTTTAAATCAAATATGAACTTTGATATTGCCACTGAAAATTTTGTTGTGATGTAAAGTCTGAGGTTCCTCTGTAACAGATCTACCTTGTACAGTTCAGACATTTAATTGTATATTGTTGTATATTGTGTAAAAATGTTCATCCCCTTATTAGGTAAATTGTTTATCTAAACTTGAGACACAAACATTACAACACTTTGTGCATACTAAATTCAGTGTGGTGATATTTTGAACTACAAATGTAACACCCACCCAAAGAAAAAGAAGTAGAAAAGGCATACACAGGAAACAATGAACACCTCCAAAGAAATTTATTTACCAGGACACAAGTTTCAGGTTAAAGGTCAAATTTCAATGACACCAGTCTTTGTGACCTTGATATAAGGAATGGAGATTTTCAAAACCAAGGGCGTCAAACTTCTACAGAAATATATACACTTCCCCATACAAACAGGAATGACATCAAATCACATTTAATCCATTCTACTACATAACTGCAATATTACCGAAAAAATCCGATGATCCTAATGCAATGAGAAAAAAATTCATTCATTCATACAATAAATGGAACACACATACATCATGCAAATCAAAATCTTTTCAGAAGGCGATCTTTGCTAGAGACAGCGTTCTGAAAACTTTTGACCAATCATAAAGCATTTAAGATACCAGTAACTTACGGAAAAGCATTCGTCTTCATTTTCACACAGAACTAACTAGAATGTTAGAACATCTTTTAAAACTTCCCTACGAATTAGCTTTACAACAATAACCAAATAAAACAAGATAAACATTTCTATCATTTATATAAATAAAGAGTCTACTAAACACAGGTGATAATTCACAAGTGTTTCATATCATCCTTGCTACACGATGCAGAGCGGGGATGGACTATATATACACATATATTTTGTGAGTAGCAAGACTGGAATGAAAGGTCAGGAAACTGCCTCTTTCTCTTGTCATATAACAGGCAAGGCTCTCACCTGGAAAATGAACGATCCATTTTAGTTCGCCGCTTGCTTTCTTCCAATGTCTGGAACTCGGTTTTTCCACTGGAAATAGATCTTCATTTAGTTTGTACATCAAAAACTTCCCTCTAGTTTTTTGGATTTTTTTTTTCTGTTTTGTTTTTTGTTTCTTTGTTATTTTGTTTTTGATTATTTTCAATGGGTGGAGTATTAGAGAAGGGACATGAGGAACTGTAGAGAAACATTTTAAGACCTAAACTGATGCTATTTCAGATGCCTGGTATGAATGAATGGGTGATACAATGGGCACAATGTATGATCAAATCAGCTTGCAAAGCTCCATGTCAAACTTATTCGTGATGTTATATGTCCAGTTTTCAAAATGTGACACAAAATCTTCCATTTGAATTTTTTTCCATATTAAAAAGAAAAAAATCTCAATTGAAAAACACTTGTTAATCAAGGAAATAAATAAAAACCAACAGAACTATTTACGGTTTCCTCAATAAGCCAACCATAGTTACCTCCCTTCTATAAAATAAAATGCACCTCATACATCACATTTTGAAAGGGATGAATTTTGTTTAGATTTTGTGTTTAGTAAATCAGCCCAAGAAACTTTGTGAAGAGAACCGATTGCAAATTTTGTGTTTGTTGTTATACAGAAAATCTCATTAGAACACCAAAACCAATTCTAGGAAGATTATTATCAGGAATTACTCATTACACAATCTGTGCCCATGGAGATCGGTTTCAAAGACAATCTAAAAATATTTTAGCACAAATTAAATCAGTAAAGGCAAAATAATATATTTCTTTAAAGAAAATGAAATTCAAAATTTGTAAAAATTCAAAAAATGAAAGCAGATTTCCAAAGGCTTGTGTATTGTAATGATTTGAAAGATTAACTTTATGGTTTAAAGATGGTATTGTGATTATCATAAAATCCCAAACCAAAAGTTATTTTCTGGTTAGTACATTGTAACAGGTTATTTCTACAAGGTTCATTTTAAATCTCTGTCTGATTATCACTTTTTTTTTTGTAATCTATACAGAAAGGTCCTTTCTTCTAGTATATATTTCTTCACAAACCTAGATCTGATTATTACTAAAACATTCTGGGTATACAGTAAGCATTCAGATTTTTCATTCTTACAGTATTCTGCTTATAATTTCCATCTTTGATAAAGAAAATGTACATACCTCCTTCTAAAACTTAATATTCAAAAGTAAAAAAATCAAAGTGATCTAAATATTACTCTGATGATCAAAACGATAAAATCAATGTTTTTAAAGAAAAATTCAAATGTATGCAATTGCATAAAATCTGGGTAAACTAACGAGATGTTGTTTTTTTTAGATCAAACTTTTATCCCTTTTTAAAAACGTCCTATAATTAAAATTGAACAAGAAGCTGAGCAAACAGGGCCATATACAGTAAAAAAAAATCATGATATATATATAAGACAACCCTACATGCAGACATATACTTTCTGTACTGATAACTAGCATGCAGAAACAGAAGGCGAGATATACACAATAGGAAACATCCATTACAGCTAACATAGCAATTTCTCAATTTAAAAATAGGCTTCTTGAAATTTTAAACATTTCAAAATGAACCTATAAATTTTATTTTGTATCTAAACAGTGATAATTAACTAACATTAGCAGTAATAAAAATCCTGGGTAATATATTTCTAACATTATACCAGTGTATAATCAGTTTTCATCAATATTTAGTATAAAGATACATGACAAACCACCAATAAAGCTTGTGAGCAGAATTATCAAACTAAGTCGCTGGTTATATAGCTTACAAGGTGTTTGTGAGCGACGTGCTGTATATAAATTTTATCTAACATTCATGTAAACTATGGAATAATATCTATCATTAAACTGAACTAAACTTTTCTTTCACCTGGCTACAAATAATTTTCTTATTGTCTCTTCTCTCTTTCTCTTATACACACTCTCTCTATTTCTCTCTTTTTAAAATTCCAGATTGCATTGTTAAAACACTCTGCCAAGTTTTTGAATTAATCTTGTAATACAAAAGGGAGGTAATTACTAAATATGATATGAAATCTACATACTACATTAAATACTGATATGTCAAAACTATCTCCTTCATTATGATGTCAGAATAAGTTTTTAGAAATAAATTAAATTTCAAAGAAATCAAAATAAAAACCACTTCAAACATACTGTTGGTTTTAGCGTGTTGACAGAAATACCCATCTACATACAAAATCTTACCTGTATCTGAACTTTGACCCAATAGAGAAAATTTTCTTGGTGGGAGGGTTGGGAACATAGAGCCGGAAGAACGTGTGATGTTCCACGCATGACTTCCATAAGTTTTTACATGAACGATAGCTCACCATGTTAAACCCTATTAAGTTTTCTACAGCATCATTCTGTAACAGAGAATTCAACATTGTTTCATGAAAATGATATTTTTTAATGCGAAAAGTTAAACATACTATTTTTATGAAAAATTCGCAACATTTCATATGTTAAAAGGCTTTATACTCCAAATTATTTGTGGTAATTCCACCATTTCTAAGTATCTTCGAAAAAAGCATATTCAAGATAGCCTGGGCATTTTTCAAAACCTACCAATACTTTAAGCACAGTCCTGAGTTGAACAGATAGCCCAAATGAAAGCCAGAACAACCTTTTAAAATATTACATCTAATCCTCAAGATTTAACAGAAATAGAATGATCCTCATTTCAGTTTTCTGTGTAAAGACTGATCCTCATTTCAGTTTTCAGTGTAAATTACTTCAATCTATAGGAAACTCACCACTTCTCGTCGAAGCTGAATGAAAAACTGCTTCCTTTTAAAGGAAATTTTTACAATTTTTGCCCTAAAAAGAAAGAAAAATGGAAAAAATTACTACATTCATTCAGACAGGTCTATCAAAATAACTTGCATGGATTCTTTGTTGCCTCTAAAATGAATTCCTATAAAAAATTTTCTAAAACTAACACATATCAAATATTTTCACAAAAAGCTTAACATTTCTTAATCAGTTAAGTAACTGTTAAAAATTAAACTTTATTTACTTTAAAATAATGATCAATCATTTGTCTGCCCGGATGGACACTACCAAAAGGTTTTACTCTGTGAGGAAATCGAAGTACCAAGTGAAAATCTTTGTGGTCGGACAAGTGAAAGATTAAAGTTGAGAGGCATTACCACTGCACCATTTCACAACCCTAAAACTGCCATTTTCATCTAACATCACATAAAAGATAAATGTTTTCTTGTAGCTATAGGAAACTCTTAACAAAACTTACATCAGTGAAATACATTTTCACAGACAATATTCCAGGAGACAAACTTTCACCAAAGAATGCTGTAAGAGACAGACCTTGTACCATAGATGCTTGAGAGTAACTAACACCAATACTCACCATGGGAATGTGTTGATTTTGACGTTATTCTGGAACACAACCAAACCTATAGACGTCACACCTAGCTGTATGTCCACATTACTCTGATCCTGTAAGAAGCAAACAACAGTAAACCATACATATCACAATACAGTCACACCTGGCTTATCCCCCCTTCTCCTCCAATGTAATTCAAGACCCCCTTTCCTCTTTACTTCATTCTTGTATGATTTTTTCTCCTTAAACATCGATACTATTTTGATACTGACATAAACTGGCTGAACCAAAAAAAAGAAAGAAGAAAAAATATTTAAAAGATCTTACAATACAATATTACACTAAATTAAATATAAAATTACAGTTTTATAAACAACCAGAAGATTACTTTACACATTATTGATGTTTCCTGAAATCACAAATAAATTTCCTTTCTAAGTATTAGTCTTTTCTACAAGCTTCTAAATAGTAAAATATGGTATTTCAAGATTTAATTTTACAATAAAAATCATATTTAATGAGATAAATTAAAAAAAATGTAATGCAGAGTTGTATTTCCAAGCAATCATTTGCAGAGATGGTAACCTCTCTATATAAGATGCAGACAGGTAACACAATGTAGGCAACTGATTACTTGAATCATTCTTGGCTTTCTATCTTTGAATATTCATGCTCTAATTAGATTTCTTGGTTGCACGCCGATACCTAATTATTAGAAGATAAAGTATCTTTCTCTTTATTTATTTTTTTCAATGACTGTGCACAGGTGGGATAAGAATATCTAGGTACTTCTTCATTCCACTGTAAGGTGATAACCAACAAAGTTGATTTGAATTCCTAATTTGAACATGAAAAACATTTTCATGAATGCTCCTGAATATGAAACCAGGTATGTATCAATATTATAGATGAAATATATAGGAATCTTAATGTCTCATCTGTTTTGAATTCCACTGTATGACTCAAAAACCCTAATTTCAGTTTTCTAGATTTTCGACTTTCAGCAGAAATTATTGATATATTTTCATTTTACAAATTAACCTTTCATACTGCAAATTTGAATTTGAATGCATTAATAGAAAAGATATTAAACTCATCTATGAGATATAGATGTACCTGTTGTGTACCTTTAACACCAGTTATTGTGCATGCTAATATTATACAGTGATCTTTAGATGTACTTTTTCACCAAACCATGATATTTAAAATCATAAATTTCTAAAATACTGTGATAAGTTAATGTAATATGCACTTTGGATAATGTACAAGGCTATATATACAGCATCATGTTTAGTCAAATCAATCACAATATCTCATTATATAAAGGACTTCTACAGTTGTGGCAATATTCACCAACAGTCACGATGTATACCCTGAAGTCATTAGGAAACATGCTACTCAGAGTTTTACTTGTCTATCTGTTTTGGTATTCAATACATTGTATTGATTTTCAGGTTAATAGTGACTTTGGTAGAAAATTAGTTGGTGAATATTTCCATCCTGTAAATAGGATCACATGACACCAATGTCCTGCACATGCTTTATGTTCAAATCATATCTATCCTGTAATCTGCCCAAGTCAAACCCGTTACTTCTGGCTTCATGTAGGGAATTCCGCTTTTTTACAATACAGCTGAATTAGATGTGGCTGGGCTTATGATGACCGGGCTTATTACTGGATAAATACGGTATACAGTATCTACATGGTAACTTCAGACATGAAACATGCCTCAGATTGGTTAGTGACATCTATACAACAGACAATGCACAAATATCTGTCTGTCAAGTACCTTTTCAAGTGTCAGACCTGTAAGTTACTTGTAAATGAATCTGCATGTATTTATTTATGTTACTATGAAGAAAATAAATAAATAATAAAAAACAATAATGACAAAAAAATCCTTCAGTTGTTATGGAAATACATTTTGAAAGATCCATCTTTAAATGTCATATATATTTTAGTGATAATTTGATATTGATTACTTGACAAAGTATTGATTTTGAAAAGATCTGACAGACTCTGCATAGATAGTGTTACATTTCCCTATATACCCTTGTATAACCTAGCTATGCCATTGTTAGATGTTAGCTGTTTAGTGTCAAATGATACTGACTATATTGAACGCGGGATCCTGCTCTATTTCACCCGTCATCATGGACATAGACTGCAAGAAAATGAAAACATGAATTATCTCCCTTTAAGTGGAATATAAATTGAATCACAGTTTTGTTGTGTTAGGCAAGAAGTTATTATCTTTGTTTTAAAAAATCCTTTATTGGTATTGATTTCATCTTTGGTAGATATATACATATAAAATTCAATATTGTTAAATTTTAAAATCTTTATATAATTAATGAATGTGTTTTTTTTTATTTCATGATAAACCTAACAGAAGTTTGATATTTTCTCTCTGTATACAAATAGAAATATCTCAGTAATTACTCTGATGAACAAGAAGATTGAAAATGAAGAAGTGAGTAGAATATAGATAATGTATTGTATTTATAAAGATAGTTTGTGTAGTGAACCATCACCAGGCGATCTACAACTAACTAAATCAAGCCCGAATGTTGCCACCAAAGCAGGAGTCAAAGTGAGAGAAATCTAGAGCAAGGGAGATAATTCAGTTTTTTTTAAACCTGTCCACTAATGCACAAGAAGTTACAATAGTGACAAGATATACTGACTCTTTAGGGAGCAAGTATAACACAGAAATAAGTTTAGATCTATTTGCATACTTCAACAAAACAGCTTTCTTTCAAGATTAGAAAATACTTTCCACCAAATTCCACAAACTATTTTGCTCCATTCAATGCAGCTATTTATAATCAAAACCCAGTTAGCAAAATCCTTTTCTCAACACTTATAAGAGTACTGTCAACAAATTTTAATAGTATAATTCATATGTATCACCACAGAATGTTTATATATCAACAAATAAGACAATATTTCTTATAATTAAAACAAGTTTCCTATGACATAACATTGTCTGATCACAAACTCAATGTTTACACTAATTTTCATTCATTTAGCTGGGTAATATGAATCAGCAGCATATGTGGAGCAGAAAAATAAAATGTGAATATTAATCCCATATTTATTTAATTGTTAAGAAAGCAATTTGAAAAAAGACATGATTTAGGACAGTTGGAACAATATGCAAAGTTCACTGAAGAAAAACCCACAAAAAATTGGAAAAAAAGCTCACACATTCCCTATAGATAACTACAGACAGTAGTTAAACACAACACCAAAGTTTTTAACTTAAACTTATTGAAATAAAGAGTGTAATATGTTTAGCAAAATATCAAAGAAATCTGATACATTATAAAAGCAGTTTGAACAAAGTTCTCACACATAGCAAGACTTTAAAGCAGCACTGATGTTTGTTGTAATTAAGTTTCAATCAGTTTCTTATACAGTGACAGCTATCAGTAAATTTTCCTTAAATGAACCTGTCTTCTTTATATTTCAGGAAAATATTGATATCATGAATCACCTAATTATTTTTCTTTATGATGAAAATAAAATGAATGAATTAATGAATGAATTTGAAGATCTTATTAAGTTTGTCAATAAATATTCAAAATGTTTCAAAGGTCAAAAGACAAAGCATATTATTTTCATTATTTTTAATTTTTGGCTTACTTAAAGAAATTCCATTCAGGTTTCCTTCCTCCCTTTATTTCTAATATTTACTGTTTTTCCAAAATATTGTCAATTTGATTTCCAATCAAGTTTTCCATTCTAAATTTGCTTTAAGTACAACAGTAACTTTAAGTATAAATCAGCAGATATACAAGGACTTTTCCTGAATAGACAGAAATCACAACTCCATACTTGTGACTTCTACCAGAACACCTCCACTAATGTACAATACATTCACTGTAGAAACTCACACACACAAAACATAAAGGTGGGAAGGAAAAGTGACAGGCAGCAGGTGTAACAATCAGCCTTCTACTTACCCGTGCATTGTGGAGATCAACTCCGTACATCTCCAAACGTTTGGCCTTGTCAAGGTAGTTGTACTCTGCATCAGCTGGGGTCTGGCCCCTAAAGGGGAACAACTCATTTTGTAACACATGAAAATGATATTTCACAAGTACTGAAGCAGAGTTAAAACTTTCCACTGATGTAAATCTTACCCATAATGGAGGGCAACTCAAGAATTTTAACCAAAAGATGGAAAACTGGTCTCTAACAGCAGAAAACTCTGCTCTATGACTCAGATAGGCGACAACAAGAGTTTGTACCGGAGACAACTGTGTAGCAATAAATCCCAAGCTATTTTACCAGCCAATCGTCAACCAGGAAGAGGCTGCAGATTTTGAATACCAGTATACAAATAACAAACTGTCAACATCAGCTTTGCATGCTGAATCAATCTTTTTCATGCCATGGTAACCTATTGTGTGTTACCTGTGCTGTTTGTGTAGTTCCAACACTTGTTTCTCAAACTCTTCTGTCTGTGTGGGAAGAAATCTGTATTCTGTGAGGTAGTTGTCCCTGTGCTCTTCTGGATTGTAATCACCAAGCTCAGCTGTAAAACACAATACACACTCAATCGTTATATTTTTCTACCTTTTCACTGGAACCTTTGTTTCTTTTCAAAATTAGGAAACACTTGAAATCATATTCAACAAGAGAAATATTGAATCACAAACCTTTTATTGTGACTGTCATTAAGTTTTCTTCATGAGCAAAATCTAATTCTCAGTCTTAATAAATACGTTCAATAACCCCAATCTCTGTCATGCCATACTTGCTGAAGTTTCTTCTAAACAACAGATGTAAACAGCACAACTGAACAATTTCCATATTACCCCTCCAACTGACAAAATTCATATAACTAAAGTGTTGTTATACATTTTCATTAGGTCTCTGACCTTCATTTTTGAAAGTCAGAGAGACCTGTCTTGTCAAACAACGATACTCACATTGCACTGCGTAGCTAGCCAGCAGGGCGGCAGTGCTGGGGGGACACACAAGCCTGCCTTCTAGAATGTCTCGCTTCACTTGGAGGAAAAAATGGTACCTGTCAAGTAAACAACTCATAAAAGTAGGAAAATGTTCATCATTACTGGAGATGGTCAAAATACAGAGTCTACTCCAACATTTAACAATTTCTGAAATATTGCCCTAAATGATAGAAAATGTAAGCACACAACTGAAATATTTTCAACTACTATATATGGTGAAGCAATCTGAGGAGGGAGGGAGGGAGGGCGGGAGAAAATTAAATATGAACATATATGATTGGATGAATGAATAGTGATGACATGAATGAAGCATGGGGAATGAGAGCTCTCCTTCATAAAAAGAATACAAAAATGAAATTTGTAAACTGTTGGAGAAGCCATTCACCCAGGATAAGTTTTACCTTCCCATCAAAAATATTAATCTTTACCCAGTGTCAAATTTATCTAAAAATAGCAGCTATTACTAAAAAGCTGCTGTTTTACTACTGCATTTTTTGAAACAGTGAAACTGTGGCAAAGTGTCATGCATGTAGAGTTATCTCTATACTACATTCATCCATTTCTGTATTACACTAGTGATGACACACAAATATCATCGAATGCTTTAAAATTTTCCCCGATTTCATCTAATTCCAGAATTCAATCTTCTCATTTAGTACTGGCAAAGTTACTGCTATGGCCTTGAATAAATCAAAACAGAATGACTTTACTTTTTAATACAACATTGGTGATATGAGTGAAAACATCATACAAGGCATAGAGGTGTTGTCGAATAAACCTGTTAGGTTATATGATGGGCCACTCCACAGACTACTTCCATTTAACAATCATTCAATTTACAAAGTCCTTAATTCAACTTTCATTCATGAATCTCCTCCCATTTTCAGCTTTACAACTAAATAAAAATCAGTTTGACATATTAGAGAAGAACTTAAGATGTTGTTAAACTAAGCACATTTCCTGTTTTCACAGAAGATATGTGGAATGATACATTTCTGACAAGGCATTCACAAATTTATCACACTTTATCTTCCATTTGTCTTGCAGAAATAACAACCATACTAAAAAGTCGTGAGTGAAAAGAATTTTGCTGAGTAAAACTGGCATTTTCTGTTTATTTTGATGGGACCTGTATATCACAAAGGATGATTACAGCAGACAATGTTACATCCATTCTCAATATATAAATGTATTCTTGACATTTTTTTCAGCTCATCCAATAATGGAAATTGAATAAATTCAATAAATAATCAATAACAGAGTTTGTGATCTTCCCAATTTAAATCCAAACAGTTCTTTCTCCTAATCTTGATTTTACTAATTCATCCTATAGATTTCAAAATCTTTGGTTCCTAACATCACTGAGGAGTTCTAGAAGGACGAAAAAGCTGTATGATGTAGCATCACTGGCGAGTCCTAGAAGGACGATACAGCTGTATGATGTAGCATTACTGACAGGTCCTAGAAGGACAATACAGCTGTATGATGTAGTGTTGATTCATTATTTGGTAAATACTGCATCAAACTCTTTGAAAGGAAAGGAATATGCCGTTGTGTTGTTTGTACAGTACTATACTATCATTATATTTCATCATCACATGCATGGCTAAACCCCATTTTCTACCCAAATATTAAATATACTGTTGAATGATCAATTTTCCTGGGGTTTCATTTTTGTTGACTTCGTGGTTAATGTTACTCCTTGAATCCATATGTCCACGATATTAAAAACTGATAATAATAGACATGAAATTGAACACAAGACCTCTCTACGAAATAAAGTGCAAATAAAAATTTAAGCTGAACAAAATTGTATAATATTACAGTAGATTGTAGAGTGAACAAATGATGACAGAAGCTGTCAGGGCAACAAAAGGAATTGGGATCATCAATCTTTGCAATCCATAAGAAAGAAATCATCTCAAAAGAAAACTGGTCTAGATGACACCTTATGTGTTCCAAAATATTTCATCGGTGCAAAAATGCAAGAGTATTAGAAATTCAAGTGAACACAATCAAAGAGCCCACAGAAAGCTTCAATTTTGACCTCAGAAAACACATTAAGCCATGAGAAACAATAAGATGATTAGAAATTGGTTCCCTAATGACTGACAGCAGTCATTCCAAGATTCAGCATGAACCAACATGTATAATTCAGTCTAAAACAAGGAACTGGAGTTTTAGTAGCTCTTACAAACAGCAGTAAAATCGTCCCAAGAGCCTGTATATTTCTAAATAGGAATAAAAGTATCAACGACCTGATCTTGTGTGCAGGAAAGATTTAACCCAGGAATTATTTATTTGTAAATTTAATCTCAGTCATGGGGGTGAGCTTAATACTGTGAAATTAGTTATCAAAGCTGGGTATTTCTTACTATAAGGGCACCCATATAGCTTCAATTATGATAATACCATTTCCTATACAGAATGTACTTGACCTTGGCACATGCTTCAGCTTCTACCTGATCTAGAGAAATGCTGCAGCTTCTACTTGACCTTGACACAATCTGCAGCTTCTACCTGACCTTGGCACATGCTTCAGCTTCTACCTGACCTTGAGAAATGCTGAAGCTTCTACCTGACCTTGAGAAATGCTGCAGCTTCTACATGACCTTGACTCAATCTGCAGCTTCTACCTGACCTTGGCACATGCTTCAGCTTCTACCTGACCTTGAGAAATGCTGAAGCTTGAGAAATGCTGAAGCTTCTACCTGACCTTGAGAAATGCTGCAGCTTCCACATGATCTTGAGAAATGCTGCAGCTTCTCCTTCACCTTGACACAATCTGTAGCTTCTACCTGACCTTGGCACATGGTGCAGCTTCTACTTGATCTTGAGAAATGCTGCAGCTTCTACCTGACTTGAGAAATGCTGCAGCTTCTACTTGACCTTGACACAATCTGCAGCTTCTACCTGACCTTGGCACATGCTTCAGCTTCTACCTGACCTTGAGAAATGCTGAAGCTTCTACCTGACCTTGAGAAATGCTGAAGCTTCTACCTGACCTTGAGAAATGCTGAAGCTTCTACCTGACCTTGAGAAATGCTGCAGCTTCCACATGATCTTGAGAAATGCTGCAGCTTCTCCTTCACCTTGACACAATCTGTAGCTTCTACCTGACCTTGGCACATGGTGCAGCTTCTACCTGACCTCGAGACTTGCTGAAGCTTCTACCTGACCTTGAGAAATGATTTAGCTTCTACCTGACCTTGAGAAATGCTGCAGTTTCTACCTGACCTTGAGACTTGCTACAGCTTCTACCTGACCTTGAGAAATGCTTCAGCTTCTACTTCACCTTGAGACATGCTGAAGCTTCTACCTGACCTTGAGACATGCTGCAGCTTCTACCTGACCTTGGCACATGCTTTAGCTTCTACCTGACCTTGAGACATGCTGAAGCTTCTACCTGACCTTGAGACATGCTGCAGCCTCTACCTGACCTTGAGACATGCTGCAGCTTCTACCTGACCTTGAGACATGCTGCAGCCTCTACCTGACCTTGAGACATGCTGCAGCCTCTACCTGACCTTGAGACATGCAGCAGCTTCTACTTAACCTGGACACACACTACAAGCTTTTGCTTCACCTAAACACACACTGTCCAAGCTTTACGTTTTGTTTACAATCATTGAAGTATACATGCATGTATCTGCATCTGTTATAATGGAGAGTCAAGTGATGTAATGAGGCAGGGCACAATGGCTTGGGATATGTTCATTTTGATAGCAGTGACAATGACATGGGTTGAACTCCTTGTGACATCAGTGTAGGTCACATAAATATGAGTACCTAGATAGAAAAGATATATTATCAATAGTACAATGAAAGTTACTGATTCATTTTGCATTCTTCAATGTTTTCAATTAAGCAGAAGAATGAAAAATAGAAATAAGGAAACCCCAATAAACAGAAGAATTCATATTAGCAACCAAATATCCAAATACAACCAGGATGAGATACTAAAGACCTACCCTTTCCCTGAATCAGTGGTTCTAAAAAAACACTAAATGACATGATACTAGTATCACTGGATCACTGTAAATCAGTGACGCCAAAAAACACTTAATACCATCATCACTCAATAAAGTAAATTTCCACAATACACACCCAACATTAATTTAGATGTATTAAGATTAACTCATATCTGAAAGACACCAAATCCTTTGAGCAAATGAAATATTTATATGAAGTTTCCCAATAGCTCAGTATTATATAACCATCTGGCACTATGATATGGCAAGTTCAGCTAAGAACAGAGAAAAAAAGAAAAAAAATTCAATAATTATTCATTATTGAAAATCAGATGCGTTCTGATCATGAATATTTAAAAACAAAATTAGTTGATATCTGTTGTAATCGTCGGTCCGTACACTGGAGTGAATCACAGCCACGTTTTTATCAGTGTGACCATATAGCCTGTCCAACGATAAACAAAGATAATCTAAATTGTCAATTTTTGAACCTTTAATTTTTTTTTAATTGACGTGGTTATTATCAAAAAAATCTCCTGGATTTGGGCTGAGCTCCAACTCTAACTTTCGTCAACCAATCCTGTGGCCCAAAAAATGTCTGCACTCACTAGATGGGTATACAAATACCAACTAGATACAAAATGTTCTTCCAAGTCCAAAGAAAAAGAAATATTCTTAAAAACGTCTGAATAATTTAATTACAACAACAAGCATTATTCTTCAAAATGAAACATTTATCTCTACTAGTATATAATAATATTTCTGTTCAGGTGTGTTCACTAAAAACAATGATAAAAGAGGAAAGCATTGATTTAGAAATCCTTTCATCTTTTTTATTCATTCTTTTAATGAACGAATCAATTAACACAAAATCCTGATAGGTGAGTCACCCAACAATTGTCCATTTCCTGGCTTGCCCATATGTAATTCTGATTAAGACTTTTCATGACTTAGAAGAATTAGCCTCAACATATCAGATCTACTGATCACGAAACAATTTGGCTACCATATCACTTAGAGGGGACTATATCTCTACAAGGCACTGAGCAATTAATTACAAAATTTTTTATACAGGTAAATGCAATATTTTCATATTGGATTTTGTCCAGTTGTCATATTGACAGTGAAAACTCACTCAATGACCATCTCGCTATTAAAACCACCTCACTATTAAGACCACCTCACCATTAAGACTACCTTGCTATTAAGACCACTTCCCTATTAAGAAGACCACCTTACTATTAAGAAGACCACCTTGCTCTTAAGACCACCTTGCTATTAAGACCACCTCATCATTAAGACTACATCGCTAATAAGACCACCTCGCTAATAAGACCACCTCACTATTAAGACTACCTTGCTATTAAGACCATTTCCCTATTAAGAAGACCACCTTACTATTAAGAAGACCACCTTGCTCTTAAGACCACCTTGCTATTAAGACCACCTCATCATTAAGACTACATCGCTAATAAGACCACCTCACTAATAAGACCACCTCACTATTAAGACCACCTCGCTATTAAGACCATTTTAACACATGTTTTACCCTTTAATGTTGCTCAATATTTACGAGTATTGTATACTAACACAATGTTTCCATTGTTACCCTTTAATGTTGTTCAATATTTACGAGTATTGTATACTAACACAATGTTTCCATTGTTACCCTTTAATGTTGCTCAATATTTACGAGTATTGTATACTAACACAATGTTTCCATTGTTACCCTTTAATATATGTATTGTATATACACAGATACATTATTATTAACCCATTGTTACCCTTTAATGTCGCTCAATATTTACGAGTATTGTATACTAACACAATGTTTCCCTGTTTTTTCCCTTTAATGTTGCTCAATATTTACGAGTATTGTATACTAACACAATGTTTCCCTGTTTTACCCTTTAATGTTGTTCAATATTTACGAGTATTGTATACTAACACAATGTTTCCCTGTTTTACCCTTTAATGTTGCTCAATATTTACGAGTATTGTATACTAACACAATGCCGAGTATTGTATACTAACACAATGTTTTACCCTTTAATGTTGCTCAATATTTACGAGTATTGTATACTAACACAATGTTTCCCTGTTTTACCCTTTAATGTTGCTCAATATTTACGAGTATTGTATACTAACACAATGTTTCCCTGTTTTACCCTTTAATGTTGCTCAATATTTACGAGTATTGTATACTAACACAATGTTTCCATTGTTACCCTTTAATGTTGCTCAATATTTACGAGTATTGTATACTAACACAATGTTTCCCTGTTTTACCCTTTAATGTTGCTCAATATTTACGAGTATTGTATACTAACACAATGTTTCCATTGTTACCCTTTAATGTTGCTCAATATTTACGAGTATTGTATACTAACACCATGTTTTACAAGTGTTTTGACGTAGGGTTTACCTATGATTAAGAACTGTTATATCTGAGATTATTAAATAGATAGTCCCCAGATGTATATGTATTGTAGACAGACACTTGATGGACAATAATCCGTAAACATCCTGATTCTCCATTACTTTTAATAACTTTTGATAAAGAAACCTGCATATAAATCAACAATGACTTATTGCTGAAAATCACCATGCTCCTCTCTTTCGCATTTCTTGTTTTCTTACTTAAAACACAAGTTTTTCTCTGAAGGAATCATTGTTACCTTGTATATTCTTCGGACAGCTTGCTGGGATCTGACACATAAAATTTTACACGGAAAAAAAATTGGAACGGAGGACCTGAAATAAGAAAAAAAACAAAACATTAGAAGATGGATAACTTCCTAAAAACATATATATCTATATAACAAAAACCCGCAACATTTTAAACTCCACTCTAGTATTCACCACAAACTCATGTAGTGAAACAGAGAAAGCAAAGTTATAAACTAAATGAAAAAGGACACGAAGCATCACTGGATGTTTTTCTGTTTTAAAACATAAATACATGTACCAGTCAATGGCAGCCATGATAAAACTTGTTCAACAAAACTCTAAATTTACAAATCAAAATCCATATGTCATACCTCAAAACATATTCACATCTATTAAACAACAGATAAAGTGCTGCTGAATACAAAGAACACAAACTTTTTCAAAACTTTTCATTGATTTTAAATGTATAGAATTTTTTTTTTATATCAATTGTACAAAGTTTCTTTGTCATTTTGTAATTGCTTTCCAACAAGAAAAGCAGTCTCTTTCCAAATATTAACTTGATATTTACAAGACAAAATCTCTTCCTGGTCTATTGTATGGGGTGTCTGTCCACCATATATACTATAAGTGTCTGCATGCTAGAATTCATAACAGCTACAACCAGTATTCCATGTTCAATTTCACAGAAGTCAATGCTGTGAAAAGGGAAAAATTTAGTTCTTTAAATTTTGGGAAGAAATCTCTGATTTTCTTCATTCATGGAAATAACAAACTTCTTAGCTAGGAGAAACCACCTGCAAAACAGGTCAAGATAATAACTGTGTACAGTGGTAGCTTAAATATCAAATGCACAAATCACTGACTATATGCTCTTCTGTGACGAAATGTCCTACTTCATCATCAAGAGTTGGTAACCCATAATCACCTGTTGCTATCATTATGGTAGGTGATGGAACAAGATATATTAAAATATTTTATATCTTCGCAAATTTTATGTTAATCAAATTCCCATTAAATTTAATCTTTCAATATCATATTCAAATATTACTGACTGATGTTAGATGCTGATGTTTCTGTCCAGTCTCTGAGAATGAAAAAGCATACAATTATATTGCTGTGGAATGGAGGCTAGGAAAGTTATTGTCATTTATTTTTAACTGAAAGTCTCAGTTACAAAAATCCTTAACAACCAGGAAGCAAGGAAAAATTCTTTATGAAAATTCAGTCTTGATCTAAATGGTAACTACAAAATCGATTGAATTGCGGACCAACGGTATCTACTTATTAAGCCTGAGAAATATCCCTCCACTGTATAATACTAATTATAGGAACAAACACTTCACTGTCGAAATCAATGTTAAACTTTGTCAAACAGGTCATTAGCTGTTGGGGGTGCTCTGACACCAATCTGTTCTAACTGAACACCATATCAGATGTATAATTACCAAACAAAAGAAATAGCCATCAGGTTTTTACAAGTATTTACAGGTTATCCAATATCAAGAACTGAGTTTGTTTACTACATGACATTTTCACACTAAACATGCTGCACAGAAGTCAAAGTTGATGATATTTTTAGTCTTGATACAGGGTAGGAGTATTGCTCATTGGATGGTACGGTGTGCGCTTATATTCCGAGTTGGATTCCCATTTACAAAAACAAATGAAAGGTTAAAGATTACCTCTCTGATCACATGCTTACAGATTTCCGCAACATAATCCAATTTCCTCTCACAATGAGTCATCTGTACTACTTGATTATGCATGTAGTCACTAATGATATAAATGAACTGACAAGAATAATACCATAAACTTGTCATACAACAGAAATGTGGTGACCACTTCTGTTCTTATCCATCGACAAAGACGAATACCTGAGTCAAACCCAAATTTCACACAGATTGGATCTTCGATGAATGATTTTTGCAAATCTTCATGAAGGTATGTGTTATGATATCGAAACCAAACACACAAGTTGAGATAAGTAACCCTTTCCTTGTATGAATGTAGAGCCAGTAAACCTCTCCAATGAAATATCAATAATATTTCGTTTTCAGATAAATAAAATAAAATACCTGTTTCAAAAATTAATAATATATGCACCCAGAAAATCTCCTCGATGTAATTTATATTCACCAAGTTTTTTTTCCAGATATATAAATCTATATACATATGAACTAAAATCATCACAATACCAAAAGGCAGAAAACTGGCTTCAGATCCAAAGAAATTGGCAAAGTATCAAGATATTAAAACTACTATCTGTTAATAAACAGTTATTTACAGTAGAAATACTACTTCTTAGAAATTTTATAGTTCATTACAATTTTCATTTTCAATTTATTTCAGAAAATGGAATTATCATAGTTCAGAAACATTCATCACTGCAACATATATTTATACTTGGTGAAAGGTGTTTGAATTGAATATTCAGTGATACCTTTTGCTGACAGGCTATTTCCTTTCTGGCAAGATATTGTCAGTAAGCCTTAGCAATTGACATAAACCTCCAAACCTTTTATCAAAGTAAGACCTAAAGCCATTACATTAACCGCTTTATGGAGAACTTGCATCTCCCAAGTTACTGAAATCCATTCCTCAATTTGATGTTCAGACAAGGGTTTAGAGACAATCAATAGTGTGGTTTCATAAATTTCATGCTTGCGTTTTAAAATGATATTGCCAAGGTGGTTTAGTCTCTTACTGACACTTTGTGATCATGAAGCAGCGATACATTCCATCAACTTGTAAGAGAAATTGAACTTTTCAAGGATCAAGGAGTGCATCACCTCTTAGAAGATGCAGGGGAAAATTACAATTAAGGATCCATCCCAATAGAAATCTTGTGAAGCTAGATATCATGCACCAATTTTCTTATTCAATTTCTGACTTGCTCAAAAATTCTGCTAGGATGACAGACAATCTAATAATTGTAGAGATGGTTTCCAAGACAGAACTACCTTCTCTTGATTATACAATGGGTTTTGTCTTGGCAGTATAGCTCGAGATTGTACTTATGACAAAACAACAAGCTTATAATCAGATCTTCCTAACTTGAATAAAAGCCAAAAAATCCTTTACTGTGAATTAGTTTCCATTAAAACTTTACTTTTATTTTTTTAATTTTCTGTCTACAGAATTACTTGGCTATCTTCAATTAAAATCTGTTCTCTTGTATTGGAAGAACAGGCAGATGTGAGACAGAGGGTAGATAAAGAACATATTGTGTACATGAAAAGAGGTATAATGTATACATCCTTTTAGTCAGCACTAAATTCTGCCTCCTAAGTCATGAATTTTGTTTAATTGCAGAAACATTTTAAACAAATTCTTGAAATCATTCTTTGAATAAATGATCTATACAACTTTGTAAACCCTCATCTACTGGGTTAGGGGAAAAATTAAAGTATAAAGGGAGATAACTGACTTAAATGTACTGACAAACGCTCTTACCTCTACATTGCTTCTTAATTGTTTTCAGTGGATCCAGCCACCTCTGAAAATAAAAAGAATGAGAAAATCATAACGATACTGAACAATGAAGAAACTTTATGTTATCAAGGAATAAGTTATAATCTCTTTATTCCTTGGTAAATTTCCAATAACAAAACATATACATATAAACACTGATGAAGATATTACAACAATAATGGGAGGCTTCGTTCCATGAAATTTTTAAAAAAAAATTCTATCTTAAAGAGTGCCACACACAATACATTTTGTGGCAAAAATTTCCCATCCCAATAAAATCATTAGTAATGAAATTTTATCATTATTCGAAGTGTAGTTGAGGTGTTAATATCACACTTAGGAGGTTAAATTCAATTGAAAGCTGATCTTTCAACAATTTTGTGTTTATTTAATGGTATAAGTGACTGAAGAGGTGACAAAAGCATGTTAGTCTGCAAAAGATGCTGACTCAGCCAGAAAAACAGAAATAATCAATATATAGAACTACCACAATTGTGTGAATCTGGTCGCTTTGTGAGTAGAATCTGACATCGGTCATTTACTTATTTAACGTAACAATACACAACTGGAATAATTACTTTATGTGAACTACCACTGGTTCATAAACAACCAATGAACCACCAAAATGATCATTTACATCCTTCTGGTTCATACAAATCCTGTTTTCCAATGATAACATTTCAAGTGAAATCACTTCAATTGATCATTTCCTCACATCTAATCATTTGTTCACAATAACCAGTTCACACCTAATCACTTCATATTATCTCTGCCTGATAGGTTCACACAGACAATAACCAGTTCACACCTAATCACTTCATATTATCTCTGCCTGATAGGTTCACACAGACAATAACCAGTTCACACCTAATCACTTCATATTATCTCTGCCTGATAGGTTCACACAGACAATAACCAGTTCACACCTAATCATTTCATATTATCACTGCCTGATAGGTTCACACAGACAATAACCAGTTCACACCTAATCATTTCATATTATCTCTGCCTGATAGGTTCACACAGACAATAACCAGTTCACACCTAATCACTTCATATTATCACTGCCTGATAGGTTCACACAGACAATAACCAGTTCACACCTAATCACTTCATATTATCACTGCCTGATAGGTTCACACAGACATACAACAGTTCATGTACAATCCCTGACTCACACTAACAATAATTAGTTCACAATCTTTGTCATCTGAGTCAGCTTTTGACTACGAATCATACAGACTCAGTAAAACTTGTAACAAGCACATTTCTATAGTGATTTGTGAAAATTACAGTCAGGACAAACACCAACTAAAAATAGAGTTTGAATTAAAAGCAAGTCAGAACAATATTCATACGCTAAAAACATTCTCAGTTTCTTTACAAGTAAATTGCAAACTTTAATGATACAATCTTGTTGCAATTAAGATATATAATAAAAATCTTCCAGACTTGCCAGGAACACGATTATAAATGTACGAATCGTCGGAACACAAACAGTGTATCCTTTAGCCATTTACTTTTCATTATCATCCAAAGTGAAAGTAGATCTGGGCTAACGATGAAATAATACAGCTATTTAATTAACAGGTAGCCCCACATCTTTGCCAAGGCTCCCTCCCTTGTCCCACATTGTTTGAAGTTTAAATAAACAACAAATCTTTGCCAACATGTTACTTCCACAACATTTGAAAGAATCTGTAGACCTTGTTACCAAAATGGGCATATCTTTGCTGAGTTTGAACCCTCTACTTCCTACATATTTCATTCAGAAATTCAGATAACTCAAGAATCTTTGCCAAGGTGCTTCCTCAACCTCTGCAAAGTGATCCTTTGACTTTCAAAACCATCAGTCCATCAAAACCATAACTCCACCATCACATGCTTATCTAAATTTAGAATTCTGAAGATTTGAAGAGACTGTGACCTTCACTCTTGACTTTTGTGCCCTTTTCTACAATCTCATGTTTTCCTCAATCAAAAGGAAAGCCTGCTGGCTCAAAGAAACTCCCTTGACCTTGACCTTGGATTGCAATTTATAAAGCAATTGCATTTGATTGAGAAGCAGAAATGTATGCATGCTGACTGTTATTTATAGACATCCTCTGAGGACCAAGTAGACACACACTTATTGACATTAATATATCCAGCACTAGATCAGCCAACTTGTACTAGGTTTCCTGAGGATGCTTGTGTCCCAGCTATCACTAGATTCTCCCAATGTTTATACATAACCAAACTAATATTGTTCATAGAAAGAGTTGTGCCAAGAATACTCCCTACTTTATGTTGTATTTTGGAAATGTTATCCCGAATTGTTTTGTTAATGTATTATACTTCTAATTGTTTTTGCACTACCAATTGTAAAGGCAAGAGTTCCATGCCCACCAGGCTTTTCAACTTTCCTTCTATCCATTTATATGGTAGAGAGTATGCCAAATAAAATCCAGTTGTTTGGAGCTGCCATGAAAAATACATGATGTAAATTTGTACCGTACCACAGATAGCAGGCAGCCCTGATCAGAACAGCCAATATCGAATCGCCATGGCAACCTCACTGCTCCCAAATATTCATCAATACCCAAGTTTTCCACAAGTCTGAAGCTTTTGGCTATTTTGTTATGCTTCAATTGAACCTGTGGAAATATTTCGAGCTTTAAAGAATTTTACTAAATATTCTGGTTAATCCTGGATACATAAACTCTCTCTAAGCCTTGATTGATGCTACTATACCCAATTCAGACATGTAAATATATGCAAGTCTTACTGATCAGAACCTACCTATCCTAAAAAAAAACTCCTTGTGTTTCAAGTATTTTTTCTGTCTAGCAATTCTTAAAATACAAGACTATGTGATCTTGAATTAAGTTTTTTTTTCTATCTGTGTATAGACTATACACCAAAACATGTACTGGCTTTGTATGACTATACACCAAAACACTTTTTTGCATAAAGCTAACAGTGCTATATGTACAACACTATAATTGAACACTGTGGCTTTGTATGAAGCTAATACTACTAAAATATCTAAAATATATATATAAGGACTTTGAAAACTTACACTTTTTTGCATAAAGCTAACAGTGCTATATGTACAACACTATAATCCTGAACACTGTAGGGCTTTCTTGACTTTGTATAAAGCTAACAATGCTGTATTTACAACACTATAATCCTGAACACTGTAGGGCTTTCCTGACTTTGTATAAAGCTAACAATGCTGTATGTACAACACTATAATCCTGAACACTGTAGGGCTTTCCTGACTTTGTATGAAGCTAACAATGCTGTATTTACAACACTATAATCCTGAACACTGTAGGGCTTTCCTGACTTTGTATAAAGCTAACAATGCTGTATGTACAACACTATAATCCTGAACACTGTAGGTCTTTCCTGACTTTGTATGAAGCTAACAATGCTACACGTATGAGTATACAATCTTGAGCACTATAGGTTTTTCCACTTAAAACTACGTTTTACTTTTTGATTAATCACTGCTGTTTCTCTCAATTTTCGTTTTCGTTGAAACAATTTTGTCTAATTACAGAGTACCTACTTAAAATCTATTGCTTAGAATTTGAGATTAAAAGAATGTTATGATTTTTTGCAAAAAACAAAATATGATTATATGGATAATGATGTATCTTCAAAATACTTAAGCCCCTTAACTTCTAACCCAGAGCCGGCTGGCCGTGATTATGTCCATTACATTACAAGAGTATCTGTAACATGTAAGAAGTGAGGGGATAACCAAGTACATATGTAATACTCCAGCTCTCATGGTGGTAGGGTCACCACATATAATCACATTCCAATGAAATTCAGGGAGTGGGGGGTAATAATGTTTAAACAGATACTAATTTCAAAGGTCATTGTACATCAGAGGCAAATAACTAAAACAAAATATGAAGAGCTTTTTTTATCATGCCTTTTTTTTATTGCAATGAACTTGAATTCACTTTTTATAAATGAAAATGCATGAAAATTGTTGAAAGATAAGTAAAAAAGGATAGCTGAACTACTTGTTACAGGTCAAAGGAAGTATTATAAACAACTTTCTGTCAGACATCAAATGAAAACCTCTCAACTTATTTCTGTGGAATAAGTGTCAAAGCAGATCTACAGTTGGCCACTGTCTGTAAGTCTTTGTTCACACACTAATCTAGGGTTTACAGCCCCCATACTGCTACTTCAGAGCTCTTCCTGTACTTCTGATTCCTGGTAGAAAGTATTAACACTATATTTTATGTCTTGTTCTTTGATGATGTTGATTATTAATCCTTTCTGTTATATCTAAAATAGGCGAGAATGAAAACTCCTGTTCTGAATAGCTCCAATAAATATATTACTTTAACCCTGACAGATTTTATATAGTCCCATGATTTTACAATTCTAGGGAAACTGAAATATAATAATATCATGAATCTGCCTTTATATTTGTAAAAGTGAATTTTTAAATCTTATCAAAAACATAATATAAAGTATGGGTAATGGCAAAGTCTGACTGACCAAGGATATCTCAATTCAAACTTTTGTGTGAATTTTAAACTAGTTATTCAAAATGTGTGACTTTGACCCACTATAAAGAAAAAGCAATTCTAGGCACAAAACTTTTGACCTTTGCAGTTTACATCTGATTAAGCAAAACAACATAAACTATTATATTGGAAACTATTTGTAATGCCTAAAATGACCTTGGGCCTAAAACATCTATTAAAAACATGTGGCCTGTACAAAATTTTAGTTTGATTGGGGATAAATTAATCTAGGATCTGTACCAATAGACAGACACATCCCTCTCAATCTAAAATACAGGCAAATTATTAAAACTCGCTTATAGCTAACAAATGTTTGTATCAACCTCATTCTGGGTAAATCAGGTACAGCTTCTGTAGTCCTAATGTAAAACACCTTGACTCCTATGCCTGGCTGTTTATATCGGTTGCTGAAGATCACAAGCAGTCTGCCCAACAACTCCACATAATAGAAAGTGAATGCCACAACTTCATGCAACTTTTCTCCTCAATAAAAAGACTGTTACCCGACTTATTTATCAAAATAAATCTGCCTACAGTCTTTTCTTGTTAACATTAGATATCAAAGTTCTATAAACAAGTGTCTTCAGACTTCTATCAACAAATGACCTTGATCTTCTATCAACAAGTTTGTGTTTGAATATGCATGCATTCAACAGTTCTTACACATGATATCATGTATGGGTTGTGCTATATATTGCATTATTCTCAAGAGTGATAAAAGTGATCACATACAGTTTCCAACATTGAAATATTCCAGCATGACATTTTCCAACATTGAAATATTCAAGAATGACATTTTCCAACACTGAAATATCCCAACATGACATTTTCCAACATTGAAATATTCCAGCATGACATTTTCCAACATTTAAATATCCCAACATGACAATTTCCAACAGTAATGTATCCCTTAATATTGCAGTACTGTAAATGCATACAATTTAGCTGTAATGTTTTTTTAGAGCCTTTAGCATGAAAAATTTGCACTGAAATATGAGAAGTGTTAATTACAGTTTAGTACATGATTTACATAGCAACGAGTGTGAATGTACTTATCCATCGTTTTCACTAATCAGCAAATAGAAGATGACTAAGATTTTACTATGCCAAATTAAATATACTTACAGCATTTCTACGAGTTATGTTCTATTTTTCCTACAAGTTACATTCCTAGAAGTAACATTGCAATGTTTCTTTAAGACACTAAAATTTTCTATCATCAAACCAGAATCTTAAATGTTATATTTATTGAATATATATAAAGACTGAAAGCTTACACAAGATAATAAGCATTAGATCACAGACATTACAATCTAGAAGATTGTGTGATATAGAATATAAGTCTTCAGTGGCAGAATACATCTCTTATACCAGTCAAGACTGAGAACCATGATATACACAATATCAGCTGGCTTTACAGGAAATCCTCCCTCCACTGGGGACATATACGGAGGACAATTTGCCCTGTTATTGACTGGTTTGTATGTCAATAATGCATATACACAAGACATAACATAGTCCATTCGCCATCAGTTGAAAGTTACAGAATATTCATATTCCTAGGAAAATTTATGTAATCGATTTTTAACAATAAATAATGCTGGTCTCTCTTATACTACATTTCAATATCTACTCTCAAAAAGTATTTACACAAACCATCTTAACAATTCTCCTGTCACTCTGCAAGGTAAGCAGATTTTACTACAAATCTTCACTTTAGACAGCTTAAAAACTGTCTTTTCTGTACAGATTTTATACAGGAATCACAATCCCGAAGTCCTGTGATGTGGCAAGCACGCTAGAATCTGAGGAGAGCAACAACTTTAACTACTTTTCATTAGCACATAAACACCTCTTAAAACTTATAACAATTACATTTTCAAGACCTGGTTTATTTCCAATTCCAGCATTTAGCATGTATGTCTGCAATTGAATTTTATAGTTGAAAGTTAAGATGATAGAGGATTACCAAAACTGATGTTTTCGTAATCATCAGTTTCCATGGGAACAGCAAGGCATCAAGCCAAAAGAAGTGAATTATTCTAGAGAACTACTTTTTGCCAATTAGCAGCTTGGTATAATTACATTGAGGTTGGAAGCCAGTCAGATAGGTACAGATGCTGGAGGTTAACAATTAGGAACACTTTCTTCATCTGTGGGTTGTGAACCGATTCACACACAATTACAAGCTGTAAACATTCTTCAACTATTTACTATCCTAATGCTATCTGAAAGGTGTGATATACAGATTCTGAAGCCAGATTCCCATATGAATTTCTACAATTTATATTGAGTATTACAGCATGTCAAATGAGACATCATTGCAAATTTGATAATGTCTATATTTATAAGGAATAGTGTGCTGTGTTAATCTGATGTAAATTCAATCTACTTAATTTGAATATCATTACAGTCCAATTTGTTTTGTTTTTTATAGAAAGGTTTGAAATCTACATCCTTACTTTCCATTGTAATAACATTATATGCTTTTCTGACATGTATGATGATTACTGGGGTACCCAAACTTTTTATATCCTCCTAACTAACATAGAACAGCTTCCTTAACTTTGAAATGTTTCTTTTGCTTTTCCCTTTATGCAACAGTAGCACTAAAGTTCTAGAAATATTTGTCCTTAAGTGGATTTTTCTTTTAGTTAAGGAATTTGCTTTAGGTGAGAAACAGTCATGACCAACCCTGAATGTTCTGTCCAAAAATCAATGAGCTACAGAAATATAGCACCATCACTAAAACATTTGTAGAGGCCCTATTAAGGAGGTTTCCAATTCCGAAAATTTTACACACAATTTATGACCTTGTATGTGAATACCTGGTTTCATTAACCCTTGCTTCCTGCCAATCCAGTAATAAGTAGAGTTTTCAGCTAGTTGTCCTGTGCTATTATTACAGAAGGGTGAGGATTATCAGCTCCATCACATCAGTGTCTAATTTAGCTGAAACATGGAACTCCGAGGGGAAGAGGGAAGTTTTAGTCTGTTATTGATCAGATGTTCCTGTAATTGTTTAGTAAGAGATGCAATGTGCTGTCTTCCTGAACTCTGTCAACAAGCAAATCTCATTTCAGTTCCTACAAATTCAATACCAAGCTCATTTTGCCCAATATCAAAATACTAGTACAGAGTTTTACATAGTAATTTTCTTGGGTTTTATAGGTGTGTTATCTGGTGTTCTTAATAATAATACCCAATTAATTTGTAAGACAGTCTAAGCACATTACAGTAACTAAGAATAACTTTTCCAATAATTATATTTATCACTTCTTTTTTTTTTTTTTTTAAATTTTTTTGGGAGGGGGGGGGGAGGCATTTCTCAGATTAACAAATAGAAGATAGAGATTTGGAAAAAATGGGATTCAAAACCATTACTGTTAGAAGAAATTAGTAATAATTTATACTTTATAAATTAGATTCTCAAATGTAATGTTTAGTAGGACTTTATAAGATCAGTCTCACTATGGTTTTATATTGTGTACTTTACATATGATGTAATTGTGATATATGACACTTTAATAAACAAATTTTGTATATTATTTGTATTGTAAAAGGATGTTTAAAGTAGGACATATATGTTTGGCCTCAGTTTGATTGAAACGCATGCTTGTTATAGAAACCTTTCTTCAAAATGATAATCATTTTTAGATATTTGCTAAAACAACCAACACATAGTTGGAAAGTAATAATTCAGGTATGACTTGATTATCATCCAATGGGAAGATGGAGGACAAATGAAATATTGGGAAGGTAGAGTATGTTTACACAATGCACTTGGACCAAGAAATTAGCTATGTTAATGCATGACAACTGACTTACCAGTGCGTATGTACTTGGCGCCATATAGTTATGGCCAACCATGTGGTCCGGAGCAGGTGACAAGTCAACAAACTGAAGTCCAAAATAATCTTTCTCTACCAGCTCCAGGTGGTCAAACACTTTATCCAGTAAATGTTGTGCTTTTGCACGTTTCTGAAACAATAGAACATCAAACAATTAATCATTCGCCCAATTAAGAGATTTTTTAGACATATGCACGGATTGTAAATAACTGCATCCTTTCATGTACAATAGGACCTCTGTTTTTGTTATATACACAGTACAGGTTTTGTTTGTTGTCACTCAGTGTCATATACATAATCACTATGTGTTGGTACTGTGTCCCTTTCTTTTCTTAATTTTTTCATTTTTCAAGATCTTCATACACCACATTATCATAACAATACATAATCTTTCATATGAAGACATGCATGAGTCTCGACCAGACAATGGTTAAACCACACTATATAAAGAAAACTGATAACCCAAAGAAAAGTGAATGAAAAAAATTGTCAAATCTGCTGGCTTGTACAGGGCAGCACGAAGGATGTACATAGTTCAGGGGCGGTATTTGCGTTCAGTATTTGTACAAGTGTATGTGGTAGGTTTTCTGATAGCACATTTGGTTATCTATCCATACAGGATCTTATTTCTCACACGCTGGTGATTACAATGTAACAGTAGCTAAGATGCTGACACTTAAAGGAGAAAAAAACAGTTTTTATCTCATTTTATTTTCACCCTTGTATGTCCTTTTAGTTTTCTTATAAGAAGTATTTTCATTTTAAAGAAAAAAAGAGTTTAAAAGCAAGTTAGTTAAACAGGTCTTTAAATAAATATCAGAAAGTTATTTCTTAAAATTTATATCTCTTAATTTCAAATTATCATAATTATCTTTACAATTTTTCACTTTAACTTCCAGGAACCAATTTTTTCTTTCTGGGTTTTGGGGTTTTTTCTCTCCTTAATTTATGACTTTATGAGATAGTTGGTGTAGAGTATAACGAACAAGAAACATTAATGTTGACAATATCAACTAAAGACAAATATCAACATGACCTCTTGCAGAGACACTATCAAAGAGCAATTGCCCTATCATCACACCGCCATCATTACAAGTTGACACTGATCTGTCAGAACGGCAGATCAGATGTGGGACCACAGACATCTAAGAATCAAGAGACTATTAACAGCAAGTAATACTGATGCTTGAACTGTGGCAATCTTCTCTCCAAACAAAATTTCTCATTGATCCCGGTTGTATCAATGCTGGATTCTGTGGCAAACATTTCTCCAAACAAAATCTCTCATCGGTCCATGTTGTTCTGATGCTTGAACTGAGGCAACAATCCTTCCAAACAAAATCTCTCATCGATCCATGTTGTTCTGATGCTTGAACTGAGGCAACAATCCTTCCAAACAAAACCTCTCATTGATCCATGTTGTTCCAATGCTTGAATCTTTCGTAAGCATTTCTCAAACAAAAACTCTCATTAATCTATGTTGTTCTGATACTTGAACTTCAGCAACCATCTCTCCAAACAAAACCGCTCATTGGTCCATTACATGGGCGACTCGTGCATCTGTGGCAAGCATTTCCCCAAACAAAACCTCTCATTGATCTGTGTTGTACCAAAGCTTGAATATGTGGTCAGTTTCAGTCAACAAGCCTAAACAATGGTCACAATAAGTGTAGGACCATACGAGTAGTAGGATCTCACATTTTATCAGCAATTGCAAAAGATTGTTTTAATATCAACAAAATGGACACAGTACAATTTTGCAATTTTGAAATTCCAGTGGAACTTGCCTTTACCACAACAGATATATGCCACATTCTCATCTGTTAATACCTTCTACCAATTGTTGCTCCTAATGACTTTTTTCGTATTAATCAATCTTTAAGGATATAACAATAGCATACCTTCTTTTGGGTATTGAACAGCAGAACTAGTAATAAAGATAATGGTAACAATTATGATACTGTTTCTCAATAAATATTAACCTTTTCACAAAGTCAAATTCTCAAACAGCTTCGGAGTCTTATAAGCAAGCTATAGATTCTGTAACTCGAAGGGTAAAGGGAAAACTGCGCAAAGCAATATTCCTGAGAAATTTTTCAAGTTCAAAGGGACATATCACTGCCAAGAAGGGTTACAGACTGCCAAGAAGCGAACTCAGAGCGTAACTTTTGACCAAGAACTCATATACAAAATTACATTTTGATAACTCGAAGCATAACCAAGAAAATTCCAGAAAACAATATTCCCAAAGAATTGTACAAAAAACCATATTCTCGAAGAATTTTCAAAGAGGCATAACTCTGCAAAAATGGTCACAGACAGTGAAGAATCAAAAGAAACCTGTACCCTTTCAACAAGAAGCCATATACTAAATTTCAATTTGATAACTCAAAGCATAAGCGAAAAAAGTCCGAAATCTTTCCTATGGACCCCACCGACGCGTGACGATGGACAAAGTGATCTGCAGGAGACACAATAATGACATACAAATGAAAAAGAAAAAATGGGTGTCTGGATTGAAGAATAGGGAAAATATATTTTTGTTTTTATTCCTTACTGTTAAACACTGAGAATAAAATCTCGTCTATAATAATGGCTTTGTCACAAATCTGGCAACAAGCTACCAGCAGTCTGACTTCCTCCCTTTATATCTGTGAAATAGGTGTATTTATTTTTTTAAACAGTACAGACAGACCCTATGACAAATGGAGGTTTTCTGTTAAAAAAATCCCCAATGTACATGTAAAATGTTTAAAAGCGGTTTTGATTGATAACATTAGGTTATAAACGAAGAGCATGCAGGATCCATTTCTAAATTGCCAAACATGACTACACAGCTTCAGTCAAATTTTCTCCCATTGTTATTTCTCAAATACCACTTCCAAGCATAATATTCCAAACACAAAACATTGCCTCATTTTTCTTTTTCAAATAAGTTGGAATAAAAAAAAAGACATTATAACACAACTGATCAATCATTGATAAAATTAGGCTCCAAGGCATGGCTAGCCTGCTGCAACAAAAATATCATTTGTCAAACCTTTCCTGGACAGAATGATGATAAAGGAGAGTGGCTTCTATATGTAAGTGACACCACACAGTCAAAGTACCTACATAAGTTATCTATCAATATGGAATAAAACATCAGTTTTAAAAATATTCAAGGAAGCAGATTAAAAATGAAGAATGAGATGAATGGTTTACTTTTATACATGTTATATCATATATATCCTACAATAAGCCCTGGAGGATGGGGTAGGGGATGGGAACAACATATTTCTTCAAAGTCACATGGTGTGATCTGATACTGGCCAATGAAAGCAAACTTCCCAATGTAGCTAAAATTTAGGTGGAAAATCACAACTTTTGTTATGTTTTTTGTACACTTGGAATTAAAGAATCTAGAAAAAAGAGAGTACAAGATGAATTCTGAGTGTTAAAAATATTCTCTAGCATTGATCTGAAACAACAATGATTGGTGGGCTTATTAACAGATCAATAAGTTAACATGTCTGATCGTTTTCCCCTGACAAATTTATTGTCTTCGTATTACATCAAAGCTCAACATCTGCCATTGTTATCATATAAACATTATTCTATACTCTGTACCAGATCATAACTTTGAATATTAATCATACATAAAACTGAGATATTGTATGCCGAATCTAAACAATTTTATGTTTTGAGCGCAAATAAATTTTTCACTGATATCATAAAATATGACCTTAGAGAGACAACTGATGGACAGATTTTAAAAAAAGGTGACATCCCATCTTATCAAACTTTAATCAAACAAGGCTAATAACTACACTATCAGCTTCCTTGTCCATAATAAATTTCAAAGTTTTTAATAACAAATTTTTACCTATTCCATTATTAATCATAGTACCAATTGTGATGCATCACAAAGAATTCTGAAAATGAAAATATTGCAACATTTCATTTCATGGCTACTTACATCGATTTCAAACTGTTCCTCGCTATCGTCTAAGAAATGTACGATACACTGCACCGTCTTTGGCTGACGATCCTGAAGATGGGCAGCCATCTCCGATGCCCGAACATTGTACGTGCCGCCAGACACCAGTCGCATGGACATAGTGTGCAGCTCTGGAATGAAAACAAGAGATTATAATGATTTCTGGAAATAAAACAATCAAGAATCTAACATATTAGACAATTCTATACACACAGGATAACTGTGCCAACACGCTACTTCAATAGGATAATAATCGCCAGTTTAAAATGTGCATTATTGTCTTTATGTCTAGATATATCCGGATTATAAGATATTCTCCTGAAGGAATGTCAAGGTAGACTGCCAGCGCCCAATGAAAGTTCATTGAATTCCTGCCATTTATGGGCAGTTTCCCTTCCATAAACATGGTAGAAAAATTAACATTTTCTACTTAAAATTTCCCTTTTCCTCACAGATAAATTTTCATCATAATTTTGTTCATATTCTATTCAACTCATTCATTTTTATGTTCATTTTGTAATACAAATAATATCACCAAATATTCCCAGAATACAATATATCTTATCTACTTGTTAAAAAAATTAAATTCATCGGGGTTTGCTCTCAGCTTTGACTCCCTTGACAGTCTCGACTTCCTTCATACACCTACAAATTTCCCCTTGATAGCTCAATTGCTAAGTCTATCATTGCCCTATATTACACCAACAGGCTTCTCCCCTTAAACTTGGATTAATTTGTAACTGATGGACACATCTCTGGACCAGAAACACAAATAAAAGTTGGAGCGTAAGTAAATAAGATATCTGGTATAAATAACACAATGTGAGAGGCAGACTGCCTAAAAGTAAAAACCTTATAATTAGGTGTTTTACACTGTTTATTGGTTGGAGATAGAGAAATGATCATGCCAAGTGACATATGATATGTTTCTTGTTATCTGCAAATTAGTGTAAATTACATCCAAAAAAAAATATGGGAATGATAACGTCATTATTTTCGTAAACGTTTACAAGCATACTATTACTACATTGGAAAATATGCCAATTTGACATTTGTGGAAGGTCAAAGTTCAGAACTGATGGAGCTTCCTTTTGGCAACTGTATTAACCAAGAGAAGGGCCTTGATAGCTCAGTCAGTCGAATATAAAACATCTACAAAGTCAGGAAAAGGTTTGAGGCATGTTGTTCGATTCCCACCACTGGGCAGTTTACGTTTTTCAGAAAGCAAAGAACATACACCATCTTGTGCTATCATGGTTGTGGCGTTGGGGAGGATACCCACTTTATCTAATGGCTCTAGATTTGGATATCATATGACAGGCCTCCCACATGTTGTTCACTGTGGTAGCCACCAGTTACTACAAGGAACCTGCCTCACAGTGACCTGTTGGGCCATAAACCAAAAACTAATCAATATTCATAGAGACTGGCAGAAAGAGCAACAGGAAGAGGGCGCTGTTCAAGAAAGAAGAGAGATAGGAAGGGGAGGCTCCGAGAAACAGTGATAGGAAGGGGAGGCTCCGAGAAACAGTGATAGGAAGGGGAGGCTCCGAGAAACAGTGATAGGAAGGGGAGGCTCAGAGAAACAGTGTGATAGGAAAGGGAGGTTAAGAGAAACAGTGTGATAGGAAGGGGAGGTTAAGAGAAACAGTGAGATAGGAAGGGGAGGCTCCGAGAAACAGTGATAGAAAGGGGAGGCTCCGAGAAACAGTGATAGGAAGGGGAGGCTCCGAGAAACAGTGATAGGAAGGGGAGGCTCCGAGAAACAGTGATAGGAAGGGGAGGCTCAGAGAAACAGTGATAGGAAGGGGAGGCTCCGAGAAACAGTGATAGGAAGGGGAGGCTCCGAGAAACAGTGATAGGAAGGGGAGGCTCCGAGAAACAGTGATAGGAAGGGGAGGCTCCGAGAAACAGTGATAGGAAGGGGAGGCTCAGAGAAACAGTGTGATAGGAAGGGGAAGCTCAGAGAAACAGTGATATGAAGGGGAGGCTCAGAGAAACAGTGTGATAGGAAAGGGAGGTTAAGAGAAACAGTGTGATAGGAAGGGGAGACTCAGAGAAACAGTGTGATAGGAAGGCGAGGCTAAGAGAAACAGTGTGATAGGAAGGGGAGGTTAAGAGAAACAGTGATAGGAAGGGGAGGTTAAGGGAAACAGTGCTAGGAAGGGGAGTCTAAGAGAAACAGTGTGATAGGAAGGGGAGGCTCCGAGAAACAGTGATAGGAAGGGGAGGCTCAGAGAAACAGTGTGATAGGAAAGGGAGGTTAAGAGAAACAGTGTGATAGGAAGGGGAGGTTAAGAAAAACAGTGAGATAGGAAGGGGAGGCTCCGCGAAACAGAGATAGGAAGGGGAGGCTCCGCGAAACAGAGATAGGAAGGGGAGGCTCCGAGAAACAGTGATAGGAAGGGGAGGTTCCGAGAAACAGTGATAGGAAGGGGAGGTTAAGAGAAACAGTGTGATAGGAAGGGGAGGCTCAGAGAAACAGTGATAGGAAGGGGAGGCTCAGAGAAACAGTGATATGAAGGGGAGGCTCAGAGAAACAGTGATAGGAAGGGGAGGCTCAGAGAAACAGTGATAGGAAGGGGAGGCTCAGAGAAACAGTGATAGGAAGGGGAGGCTCAGAGAAACAGTGTGATAGGAAGGGGAGGCTCAGAGAAACAGTGATATGATGGGGAGGCTCAGAGAAACAGTGTGATAGGAAAGGCAGGTTAAGAGAAACAGTGTGATAGGAAGGGGAGACTCAGAGAAACAGTGTGATAGGAAGGCGAGGCTAAGAGAAACAGTGTGATAGGAAGGGGAGGTTTAGAGAAACAGTGATAGGAAGGGGAGGTTTAGAGAAACAGTGATAGGAAGGGGAGTCTAAGAGAAACAGTGTGATAGGAAGGGGAGGTTAAGAGAAACAGTGTGATAGGAAGGGGAGGCTCAGAGAAACAGTGTGATAGGAAAGGGAGGCTCAGAGAAACAGTGAGATAGGAAGGGGAGGCTAAGAGAAACAGTGATAGGAAGGAGAGGTTAAGAGAAACAGTGATAGGAAGAGGGGACTGTTCAAGAAAAAGAGGTAGGATGGAGAGGCTAAGAGAAACAGAAAACAGAGAAGATAGGTTTGGTTTAGAGACAGAAAGGAAGAATTAAGTGTAAGCTCAGAGAGAAAAAGACAAAATCAGACTGGAGAGGGAATACATAAAACTCTGCTGATGGAGAAGAGCATCACTGTCATATAATCAATTCCATATACTTGAGTTGAGAAATAAAAGGGTCTTTCTTCAGTATCTTTCCATGTTCTTTTCATCTTATACCCAGATAGGAAAATGTATTTTGATCAAATACTGAATGAATCCTTTTCCTGAGATTAATAACTATAAGGTTTCCTTCAAAACTTTTCAGAGATCATGAGCTGATTCTTAGCCTATGGTGGAACATTAGTATCAAGTCCATTTTTGTAGTATCAGAGTACTCTAAATATATAGTCTTGTGATTCAGGCAATGAACTTTAATTGCATCTACAAAATATCTGAAACAGACATGTTGGTATTAACTGGTGGATCCTTGAGAAAGGTACCTCCAAGTCTGTGACTAGATGAGGCGGAAATGTGAAGTTGTTAGGTACTTAAATCTGTAAACAAGGTTTGTACATGTATAACAGAGCACTGTTAACTCGCTCTCCTCCACCAACATCATCTATTTACCTTTGATCTGTACATCAGGAGCACTCTCCTTTGTCAGTGATAGATAATTATTGTTATATAGACTCTTTCTCTCATATTGATCTTCAGAACATCATCACCATCTATTTTCTTACAGTCAAACTTTGTCTTCGATGAAAAAGACATAGAGCCAATGAAAAATCTCAAGACGTATGGCACATTCACATAATTGTCTAATAATACATTCAACTTCCGAAACAAGACAGCAGCCAAAGGGTATTGCAAGGTTTTGATTAAGACAAGATTTCTGTTTCAAAATCACAGCTAATTCATGTTTCTGCAGAAATTCGTTTGGAGCACTAATTTTCATTTTTATATCTTAATGCCAATGTTCATGAAAGCTTTACATTCTTTCATTAATTTCAATGGATGCTAGAGCACCAATTCTACTTGAGGATTGGAGCTCCCTCCAGCAGCAGCAGGTCCAACATACCCAGCAGTAAACACTTCTGGACAGTTTCTGTTTAAAGTCATTTAAAGACAGGTAGGTAATTTTATCTCTTGTTCAAACAAATGAAAATAACTTACATAAACGAAAATGAAAAATTACATCCTGGGTATTTTGAACGGCTAATCACAGGACCTGTGTGATCAACACCTACAGATCTAATTACAACACCTACATATTTAATCACAACATCGACATTTCCCTGTCTGATATCACACCTACGCCATCCCTGAGAAGTACATAGCTGTTATTCATTCTCACCAGAGATGATGTTTCCAGACAGGTAAATCTCACCAGCAAATACCAATCTTGTTCCATCATTTATCGTTCGTGCACTTTAGATCAATACTAACAATTATCAACACTGTAAGTTTGTATCTAAAACCACATCCTTTATCTACATGACAATCTAAAAACACCTCCGCTGAGGTAAAAGACTCTATGACATAGGATAATCATATTTTTAATATTAAAACAATTTATCCAATTCTGCCTTGCAATATCAATGTCAGTAACATTCACAATACAAGTTATTTGAATTTTATTGACCAAGGTCACACTTTTGTTAATGGTATCTCTTGACAACATGTCAGGGTCAAGTGGGGTCAATTCTAAGTAGAGGTCTATAGTTAAAAGGCTAAGAGTTTAAATGTCTTACAAGAGATAGTACTCGTACCACAATTAGGTATATGCTATTTCAGCCAGAGAAAGTTTTAGTTCAGCAAAGCTTGTATATAATTACAATATCAATACTGTAATAAGGCCAATAAGCCGACGTCTCTGTCTCAAATATGGACTGTGGGCTAATTACTAGACAATGAAATAATATTACTGCTGTATAGCACGTAATATTTCCAGCAGATTTAATATTTGAGGTCTAAAAAAAAAATGCAAAATTAAATACCCATCAAATGTTTCTATAGTGAATATCTCAGAAAGCATCTATTGATGCCTGCCTCTATGGATTCCAGTTCATGGTATGCACTGAATCTAATATTCCTGAACTTGCCCAAATGGGGACAACCACAAAATATCAACCTTGTGGAAACAACCATACAGTTAGTAGTTTATCTGAACAGAAATTGGCATAGGTGGGCTTATTACAAGGCATGGCCTTATTTTCGGATAAACCCAGGTGTATGTAATATAATTATATATATGTGGCACCAAAATAAAGAGGCTATACAGTAAACACGTTTCTAGGCAGAAAAACAAAACAAAAAAATTATTTCCCAATATTATTCTCCAAACCTCAACTTAATCAATATTTCATCTTACCAGGTTGACCTTGTTCTTCAGGGTCAGGATCTAGGTCAACTGTGGTACCTAAGGATGCATTACCCTCAGAGATGGTTCCTAGGGAGCCACGGGGAGAACCCCCTGGATCTGAGGTTTCTGCTGTAGCTATCACCACAGTGGGACCGATAGATGTTGTAGCGATGGTTGCCATATTCTTTAATTTGACTGTATAGTTTAATATCAAGAAAATGATGGCTGACAAATATTCACTGACTTTTCGACACAAATCAGTTCCATAGTACGAGTTTTTAAATCCATGTAAACAAATCCATTAAAACAGAAGGAATATTTACACACTGTTAAACTACAACACTGAATGACACAAGAATGAGGAATCCAACAGCAAGATATCCAGAGAAATTTGCTGGCAGAATTTTCAATTTAACCAGCTAACACAGTAAATATCATATCCAGAGAAAGTAAAGTATATAACACTTCCACAAAGACGATATTCAGCTTCAATCCCAAAGTTTACAATACTCCAGCAGATACTTTATACAATTTAAATACTCTAGTATCTGCACATGGAACCATTCGCTGGAACAAACTGCAGATACTGTACTGTATATACAGTATATGATATATGATGCAAAGTCTCCTATGGATATATTCGAAGACCCTTTTTAGGTTGTCTAATGATAAACAGTTGATACATATCCTTACTGAATGATGACTTTGTATGTATTTTTCTGTTATACACACTCACAGGAAAAAAAACAAATATCTGTACACGCAGAGCTTCGTTGGTGTCAAAGAATTACTGGTGACAATTCAATGACACGAAGGTCAGAATTTGCCTGTTCCTTCAGTAATGCTGGAGTGTATTGCTTCTACAATATTGAGACAGATTCACTCCTTAGTACAAGATATACAGAGAACACGATTATAGGTTGTGAAGCAATGGACATTGTCAAGCAATACATTTGACATATACACTAGGTGATTAGTCAGAGTACATGTGTCTATACAACAGTCTGTACTACTATTCCTGGGAATATGTCTACCTTCATCCATTCACTGACGCATCATGGACAACGATGATGAAAATGATGGTGGGGCCTATTTAACCCAATCCAGATTTTACATTCTAAAAACCTTTCTATGTAATTAGAAGCACACACATGTACTTTGTGTTAGTTCCATGGAGTAGGTATGTACTAGAGACCAAGGCAATACACCTTCTCTCAATTCATCATCCACACAGTGAGAATGTCTGCTGTTACAGTCTAGCTCCCACAGTTACACACTGCAATATTTATCCTTTTCTTCCTCGTCTCTCAGTTGATCACCTCTCAGCTTGACGGGCTATCATCCATTTTCAATCAAAATTATATTTCTATTTTAAATTTTACTCCGTGTCATGAAAGGTCTCTGAAATAACAACTTTATATTTCAAAATATGATTTCAGAAATGATTTGTCTCTCAATTTAAACTCTAGAATTTGATATCATACCCAATCTTTCATAACAATTTCATATAAAAAAATCTCCACTGATTGCTTTCTCCTGTTTCAAAATTAGTAATTTCGAATCAAAGATTACCCCAGGTATGATATCACAATTTTGTCTGTCACAGAATCTTCCTTTCCAAGTAAAAAGTTTTCCTTCGATTCAAATTAATTACAATGCTATTTTTTAATCCAGTGACCAACAGATCATATCTGTATCATTTTACTGAGTAAAACTACACAAATAACATCAACAGGAAATGTTTTGAATGAAAATTCAGAAATTATGATATCAGTTTGTATAGATAGTTTTGTTTATCTATTTTGGTGACTTCACTTTTAACCGCAAGACCGGATAAGCTAATTGCACTTACTTCCTGATCAAAAATATGCACTTGTGAAAACATTCCTGCTTTCTGTCAAATTAGGATTTGCAAGTAAATTTCCATTAAAATGATTTCCACAACAATCATTCCCTAGCTGGCATCACTGATTTGTAGCAAATCAATTGACTGGTTCACTGGATGCTATCTATTCTGTCTGTGTAGCGCATCAAAACCTAGAAACCATTTTCTTTTAGATTTACTCCAACAATGAGTCACTCACATGAGGCAGAATAATTGATTTATAACAAGTCAGGCCTGAATTTACTTAGTTAATTGCAGCAACTTTTTACTTCCAAACACAACTGTTGCATTCGCTTCATCATTGTACACAGCCCAGTCAATGCTGTCCTAACCTAATATCACAGACAAATGGATGTAATTTAAAAGTAACTGATCCATATACCTCTGGGTAATAATAAATTGTTACTTGTTAATCAACAATGAAAGCTCTCCATGCTTGATGAGTTGCTGAAATCAAATTTGTATCAATGGAAGGAACAATTTTTACATTTGTCTAATCTTTCCCACACTTGTTGTCATAACAACATCAATGTCAAGGTCAATGGTTCCCGTCTCCAGATGACTGCAGTAAAACAAAAGTGGGACACCTTCTGGATTGTCAAGTCTCCATGGAGATATACCACTTGTCTGATACAAATGTAAGATCAAGTTTCAGAGCCTGGGCAAAGATCCAGCATATCTATGTCCTTCATCAAAACACAGTTTTACACTCATAGGTAAACTGCCCACAACATTTCTCCTAATTTGGCTTTGAATTATCTGTCAGCTTGATGAGTTTTTCTGATTTGATATTGAACCAAAGCCTTTTTTGATCAATTTGTCCAATGATGTTTTTCAGCAGGTAAGGAAAGCAATGTTAATGACTATATCCTCCTTCCTTTCTAGTCCACTATGTATTTCTATTTAACAAACTTCAGTCTCAACACACATTCCGACACTTCTCAACTTTATCTGCAAAACAGAAAATCTGTGCATGTATCTATTAAATACAGTTTTTTATCAGTCTGTTACTGCAGATAACCTCGTCAATCAGAAAGGTATTAGATGTCTTGCAGCAGAGATGAAAATTACACATCACAAACTTGGGAGACAGAAATCCACATGATAAGGAAGTAAATACTGGAGCTACATCCTTCAGACACAATAGATGCACCCCTGTGTTCCATATGTATATGTTTTGTACAGAACCATATAGCCCCCATAGCTAGATGCAGCTAAAGACAGCATCATTTTGACTCCAGCACATGTACACACACACGTTAGTGTAGAGGTCCACAGGTTTATGAGGGGATGATTCAGACTTCCACCGGTTACTCTGTCTGTATGCGTGTTAAATTGGTGACACACACACAAGTGTAGGTGAATTGATCACAGCATTCCAGCACAACACTGTTGACGATTCAGTTATACATGTGCAACAACAGTCAAAGTCTGCTGTAAGCACACAGCATCCATGCTGCACAGTGTTGTATTTCCATTTAATCCACAGTTTGCAGCTTGTCTGGTAAAAACCTACAAACTTGAGAGCTATCGATTGATATACAGATATCACAAACAGTCCTTGTGTAGTCTTTGGATAGCCATAAACACAGCATTAACCTCAGCGGTTTTGATGAACACTGTGTGCCTACCATTGACACTCAATTACTATTGTAACAGTCGGGCAAACTCCACATAAACCACATAACCAATTGAACCATGAGAAATGAATACATCCATTAGCTTATGTAACTAAATCAGGTCCGTAAGCTCCAGTGTGATTATGGTCACTGATTTTTACTGACAATCACTGCGAGTTAACCCTGGCTATATATAGTGCTTTGTTTTAAAACCACTCTCATCATAAGTATTCTTTGTGTCGCTGCAGCATTAAACTAAATTGGGTATTATCCAAATTTGCCTTTTCTCCATTCATTCAAGGAATGCTAAACCCATGATGGAGATGTTATTCCTGGCAAATATTCAGTACAATATCCTGGAAATTCAGTTGACTGATTCTGTAAAGTAGTTTCTGCCACAACAGCTATTTTACATGTACACAGACACACAAACACTTCCAGTATGTTGACAAGAAGCTGGTGACAAGACGAAGAATATTGTAGATCCCTTTGGTCTGCACATCTGCTACACAGATATAACTGCCAAGATGCAATGTTAACCAATAAAATTCTGACAACCGTTTAAATACAAGTATACATTATTGTATGGTTTATCCTGTGCAGCTTGAGTTTTGCCAAGAGAGCATACAGTCAGTTCAATTCAATGCCAATGCTTTACCCTGCATTTCTAAAACATACATTATGAAAACATTCAACTAAGCTGAAGAAATTCATGACCAACTATGGATGTTTGTGGTTGTTGTTTTAATTGACAACTTGGCACCACGACATAGCAAGGAAGCACAGGGTCGGAGGCAGATTTATTTCCTCCAAGCATCGAGTGTTTGGTCGACTGATCCCTGGGTACACGCTTTTTCCCTCCACCGATCACACACTGTGCCGATCAATGCTGTTAGATCAACATGAGGAGATCTTGTGTGTGACTGCCGGGTGCGAGACCCGCTGGGAAGTAGCTACGGCTGCTGCTACTCTCAGACATACTTGTCTGTCTATGCTTCCCCAGCATTGTATCCATTGTCCTTCCACAAATTAAAGGTTTTTAATATCATATTATTTGAATAAAGCAGATTTTTCAGCTCAGGTTTTCTACAGTAAAATTTCATCTCAAAGCAGCAGTTTCCAGTTCGAAGTGACATTGTACTAATTACATTCTTACTTCATAAACATATTGAAGTTTTTTTTAATACAGTGAAATTTTATCTCATTGGGTGCTTTTCTACATGATGAAAGCTGGTTTACCAAGTATGCAATGTCATTTCACTCTGAGTACACCTGAGACACTCTACATAATCAGCTTTCCCAATACAGGTACAGGTTTTTCAAAGGTTATCTTGAAACCATGTGTACTTAACAGGATGTGCTCTTCCAGATGCTATTTAACTTATATGAACCCAAGTCAAACTGGACTGATCATACAATTTCTGCAACCAACAATTTTTAAAATGGTAGTCAATGCAAAATATGAACTTTGATTACAGGTACTGTGATTTTCCTATGTTGTAAATCCTGGTTTTAAAAGCCATAAAAGCAACTTTTTGTCTCAAAGATATATAAAAAAGCAGAAAATTACCATGGAATAACCATCCTACCATATAATTTTTCCGTATTCAGAATGAAATATATGAGCACTAATTTTCAAGATCTATTTCTGATTTTTCATTTTAAACAGTAATTTAGTGTTATCTGCACAGTAATTTTCTGAACAATAAATTTGTGCTGTCTTAAGAAAAACTGTCCACCATAGAATTTCACAATACTCAAATATGCATTTTTATCAATTTATTCAACACATCTGCATTTTCTCACAAAAACATTTTCAACATCATGTCAAACAGCTAGGCTCCTATAATATTTCCAAGGTTTCCTATTTGGAGTAAAATTTGTTTTAAAATGTAAATTTAATAAAAAGCAGTCAAATTCTTTTGGCTCATGACCAAGTTTAAGATATTAAATATACAACACATCAAGATGTAGCTTTGTAAATGATGCGATCCACAGGTGACCCAGTGACCCAAAGTGACCCTACGACCCCTGTACCCTCCATCTCCTTCCTCCAGGAAGTGTGAGGTTGGGATAATTAGACTAACTGTTGAGAGATGGAGGAGGGACGTTACAATAACATCAGTAATACACAGATATGCATGGCAAACACTAGTTTCCTCAGAATCCCTTACTTCTCCATAGATCCACAGCAAGTGTTTTACTGGATGTCTATATTCGAAGTATCATCTGCAGATCATTTTGATATTAGTTTGAAATTTCTGAGGCTGAAGTAAGCTAACCAAACAAGGTTATGTGTCTCTCGCTCCTGATAATGTGCACCTGTCAGTTAGAAAAGAGGAGTCCAGACAGAAAAACATGTTACCTCAATCCTCTTTCCCTTTCCCAACCCTCATCCTCACCATTCCTTGCTAACCCACATCCTATCCTAATTAACCGTTGTTAACATTAGTCCTCTTCAGGAGAGAAAACGGTTCAATATTGGACAGTTATTGTGTACTTATTCTATTTATTTTTTATCAGTATTTTGATGATTTGCCAAATTTCAAACAGGACAAATCACACCTGTAGTAGAATGTATCTTTCACTCATGTCAATTTGTGGAAACGTTCATGACAGACAGGAGTTGATGCAGTTGAACAGATAGTTTCCTTTTTGGAATTTTTAAATGTTAAACATTCATACCAGAGACAAAATGTCAATTTATCAATTAAAAGAAATGGGTTTCTACTTTGTATTTTTGACAGAAAATCTATACACAAAAGGGAACGAAGCTTAAAAAGAACAATCATTTTATTAAAACCCTATCCTGTAATACCATCAGTGTAGACCGACATTTCTCTGAACTCTCCTGTAATACCATCTGTGTAGACCGACATTTCTCTGAACTCTCCTGTAGTACCATCAGTGTAGACCGACATTTCTCTGAACTCTCCTGTAATACCATCTGTGTAGACCAACATTTCTCTGAACTCTCCTGTAGTACCATCTGTGTAGACCGACATTTCTCTGAACTCTCCTGTAATACCATCTGTGAAGACCGACATTTCTCTGAACTATCCTGTAATACCATCTGTGAAGACCGACATTTCCCTGAACTCTCCTGTAATACCATCTGTGAAGACCGACATTTCTCTGAACTCTCCTGTAATACCATCTGTGTAGACCGACATTTCTCTGAACTCTCCTGTAATACCATCAGTGTAGACCGACATTTCTCTGAACTCTCCTGTAATACCATCTGTGTAGACCAACATTTCTCTGAACTCTCCTGTAATACCATCTGTGTAGACCGACATTTCTCTGAACTCTCCTGTAGTACCATCTGTGTAGACCAACATTTCTCTGAACTCTCCTGTAATACCATCTGTGTAGACCGACATTTCTCTGAACTCTCCTGTAATACCATCTGTGTAGACCGACATTTCTCTGAAGCATCTTTTTTAGCTGTATTTGATCAGTATGTATGAGAAACACAAGGAGAAATACCCCTCCATGTTAACAATAAACACCAGGAGATCATTTATTTGACCACAAAACTGTTTTTGACTTCCTAAAAATCAAGAGATCCATGCACCTAGTCAGAGCATTGTAAACACTGCTGTACATGTGACTGTTAACATTACCAGCTTCCTCACACTGGAATAACATCAATACCATACAGTTCACTCTGCTTCAGATCAACAGATTACTGAAAACATCATCAGTGCCAAAAAGGACAAATACTACAACAGCACTGGCCCTTACAGTTCAGTGTCATTAATTAGCTACCTAAAGATACTGACAGATGTGTACAATATCATCATTGTCAACCAGACTTATACAACGTAACCATAAAGGTCAGACATGATCCCTAGAACATCACAGCATCAATAAATAATGCATACATTTTTTTTATCTGTTTTTGGAATAGCCTAAGATTGAAGGAGTTAACTCCCTGGACAAATAATAAAAGATATCACTGAACTGGTTTTTTCATCTAGTGATCACAAATACATCAATATCATAATAAATATGGTATAACATGTCTAATAGTATATTACACTACTTTTAACATCTCAAATATAGTTGTGTTTTAAATTCATTTTTTCTTTTTTTTTTCTTTTTTCTTTTGCTGACTTTCCTCTGAACATATTGTTTTAAATTACTACATCTTACTCTCATGGTAGTTTAGAACTGAGATAACCCTTCATTAATTTAAAACATCAATGTGTGACAGTTCACAACCTACATAATTACTGATCTTACTCTCACTTCACTACATTTTATTGTGTATCAGGTAGATTTTTGTTAAATGTCCTCATAGCAAAGTAAAGGTTAATAATCATCTGAAACATTTAACTGAAATAAATGTACTCTGGATTGTACAATTAATAAATAAAGTATCTTTCCAGTAAACACAAAACTATTTTTTCTTTGCCTTATTTTTACCTACCTGTCTGGCTGGCTTGGTCCAAGATATAAGTGCGCTTTTTTCTGTACATTGTCAGTTCAGACTATGCCAAATTAACACATCAACATGGAGAGAACAGGTCAAATATCACCAAAATATCCATGTAACTAGTAGGAAATATATGAATGAAATGGCACGCCACTCTTGCCAATAAAGTATGGAAGATATTCCTCGTAGAACTTTTGATGATACATGGTCTGTATTATCTAGTTTTGTCCTGATAAGCTTATCTAAACGGTAGCTAATATCCCCAATACTTTATAGACTGGTCCTGGAGGAACTTAGAAATGGACAAACATCAAAAACAGCTGATTTCAA